CCCGGCCCTGATAAGCACAGCGGGGGCTACGGGTCTCAGGGTCTTGCTGGTCTTCGGCTTCGGTCTTCAACTGGTCCCGATCGGCTGGGGAAGTGCCCTTTTATGCCCGTTGCCCATACGTGTTAAACTAACATTCGAACCAGTTATGTCTCTCCTTCACCAACCCCTGCACACCCTTGCAAATGCGATGTTCCATCCCAAGGAATTATCCAGGTTAAATATTGCAATAAAAAAACACGATGTGGAGTTGAGAAGTTTCCCAATTCCATAAATATTGCCAGAGTTTTTAATTCAGGGTTATATTAATATTGGTACAAATATACATCACAGATTAACACATGTATCAAAAAGGTTAGTGTATAGATTTTGCAGACGTACTTTTCTCCATGGCCAGAGCAAGTTTTTAAATAGTGCACACAGGCCAATTTCAGTGGCACGCAGCAATGGGTGCTTGAACCGATGAACCGGCTTATCAGAAACAATCACTTGATTCCATTACGTGCAGGCTTACGCAGGATTACATGTGTCTCCCAATCCTTTGGTAATAAAGTCTATGAACAATATACTCCGAATTTTTGTAGAAAATGTGATTTTGTACGAACACATTTTCGATTAACAAATTTCTATCTTGGCAAAATATTGAACTCAAAGAAGAGAGGGCATGAGTAAGTGTTATTGTTTTAAGTTTTATACAAACTTATAGACTTTTATTTGACTGGGGGACTTTATAAGTACGGTACAGTATATAAAACCACATGCAAACACAAGAAACTGGCAGAAATAAATGAAAGTTCGGATTTTCAGGATGTTCTATTTGTGAAGTGAATGTTGACTGATCTGAGATTATTGCTAACTAAACACGGGAGCATTTCTGCCCTACGTAGAAGCACAACACTTTAACACGGCACTTCACAGGTGCTGGGCCAGTTCCATATTGTGGAACTTTACCCCTGAGTACCCCATATTTTAGTTACGCCTCGCTTGCACGGCTTGGGAAGGAATTACATTGTGGAAAGGACTTTCGACTTTACAGTGATGCTGGTATTCAAATTCAAGGTTTTTGTGCAAACCGTGACACTACAGTTCAATGTTGACTGAAATCATTGCATTTATTCTTATTTGCAAAAAAAAAAAATCATCACCCCGAATCATAATTGTGAGATTGCAGAATAGAGGTGGGAGGGGGGATGGAGTGAATTGTTACAAGCATGTAGATCATTACATATCTACTCAAATATTTCATAATCAACGTTTTTGGGTTTAGATCGCGTTATTTATAAACGTGTGACGAGGGGGGGGGGGGGGGTTGAGAAATGTGACGTCACATCAAAATTCGCAACTTTAAATAAATATAGACAACACGTTCTACTTAATTAAATGGACCTTTTGATCAATGTTTTTTTCCTACAACATCAGAGTGCAGCGGCACATTAAATACGCACTACAATGACAATATATTAATACGATTTGAAGCATGTTTTATATTTGGGGGGGGGGGCAGAGCTTTGTGACGTCATATTTTAGGGGGGGGGGTCTGACTTTGTGACGCCGTGTGATGACGAGGGGGGGGGGTGAAAAATCCTCCAAAATCGCGTGACGTCATTTATGGACGGCCCCTTACCGAGTCCGGCTTAGAGTTTCGAGTCGAAGTGTCGATGGGACTTCGAGCGGGTTTACTATGACCACACCCTCGGTACCTTACCCACGTCCTTCTGAGCTATCCCCTGCGCTTCTTACTTTCATCTTCCACTACATCTTTCTTCTTCTTGGTTCTTTCGGTAAAGTCACGTAGAATGGAAGTAATAAAATAAAAAACATCATGTTTAAATTGTATTCTTTTATTATTATGTTTTTAAACACAATGTTTTATTTTTATTATTTTATTATTTCCATTCTACCGAAAGAACCAAGAAGATGAATCCCTGCAGTCACGAAAGCTTTAAATCGAAATACATCTTTCTTGTTGTTTTATTCAGCTGTTGCAGCCCCGCGGCGCTGCAACAGCTGACAAACGCCGGCTGCTGCGGTGCCACACAGCCCGGCTTGCCTGCCGCCTCGCACAGCTGGAGGGGCTGTGCGGGTGAACGTGGCCAGCTGATCCCACGTGCGAGCCTGGAGGACGCTGGCTGCTGCTGTCCATGCGGTGCGGATTAACAGCCGCCTTAGGTCCGTTTCCTGCCAGATCTATTTACCGATGGCTCCCACCACGTTTGAGGTCCAGTCCGTGTTCCTCACTACTAACACCGATTGCTTTCCCTCATTTCCATCTGTCGCCCTCCAGATGGTAGCATCACTACCTTCTTAAACGAGCTTTCCGAATTTATTTACCTTATTCTCAACCCATCTCACAAGCTCGTGCTTACTGGAGACTTTAACTGCCCCGGCAATTTCCAGCCTCCAATGATAGCCACATCGAGTCAACCTTGGCCTGTCAAAACCTGGTCATCACCAACTCAGGTAATTACCGGAGCTTCCTCAACAAATGTTGAGAGTATGCTCGACCTGGTTCTGGAACCTGACCTGGATCGTCGCATCTCTGCACTGAGAGTTTTCCAAACTGGTTACTCAGACCACCACCTCATACTATTTTCCCTTCTAATTCCCAAGCCAATCACCGTCAAAAATCACCCACCACTCCCGTAATTTCAAGGGTATCAAGTTTTGCACTCTACAGCACCTCCTCGAAAATTCGCCTTCAATTTAATCCCCATCATCAGATCCAACTGTCCGCGCTCTTCAACTGGAAGCTCACCTGAGGGTGGTGCTGAGCAAGCTGGCACCATTAAAACCACGAACCACGAGGCAGTCTTCCCACGACACTCGCTGGATCTCAAGAGACGCCATCCTTGCTCAGCGAATCAGGAGGCGCCTTGAAAGGATCGCGTCCCACAGTGGTCTTCCTGCTGATCGAGTTGCCTACAGAGCTGTCTGTAGGAGAACCAACGAACTTATCCTTGCCTCACGTTCCTTCTAAATTGAAGAACGCATCAAAACAGCTACCGGAAAACCACACATCCTTTGGAAAACCACACATCCTTTGGAAAACCCTCAAGGATCTTCTACATCTTGGTAGCAACATGGTCCCTCACCTTCACGATCCCCTGGCCTCACTGAAACTTGGCACCTCTTACAAAACTTACTTCACCAACAAGCCGATCACCATCGCAAACTCCTGCACGTCTTCCCTCGCATCGCACCATCGTACCCCGCTCACGTTTTCTGAAATTGTAAGCACTCACCCGGACACCTTTCTAACCACGTTCAAGCCGGTGTCTTCAAAAGACGTTTTCTCTTTGATTCCATCACTTCACATGAAGTCATCTCCACTCGACGTCCTCCCAGGATCCTTGTTGAAGCAATGTGCTCTGGAAGTGCTTGCGCCGCCAATTGTCCACTTGGCACATCTTTCATTCAGTCAGGGCTGTTTCCCAGACCGGTTCAAAATGGCGCAGGTAACACCACTCCTGAAAAAAGCTGGCTTGTGCCAGTAATCCTGCAAACTATTGCTCAATCTCAAACCTGAGTACGATGTCAAAGGTCATAGGGCACCTGTGTCCGAAGCGGTTACTTCCCCATGTCGCTGCAACGGGCAGATTCAAACTGTTGTAGTCGGCGTACTGGAAGTTCCACAGCACTGAGACAGCTCTACTAAAGATGACCGATGACCTCTACAAGATCAGCATTGATTGGCTTCGATCTCTCAGCCACCTTCGACACTATTGACCGCGAGATACTCATCCGGCGGCTAAGGTCAAGGTTCGGTGTATCGGGTACGGCACTAGGATGGATACCTAAAAGGTCGATCACAGTTCAAGCTGGGCGACGAACAGTCATCGCCGATGCCGTGCTTGGTCTGCGTACCACAGGGATCCATCCTCAGGCCCTTCCTTTTTTAAATCCTTTATATTAAGTTCACTTGCTTGCTTGCTTGCGACCGTGCAAATCTTTCGGTCGTTTTTTAACCCACTTCCCGTGATCCAATCGAACTGACATTTTGCACACAGACTCGTTGTGCATGACAATTAATTTTCGTGAAAAAAAATGTCCAAAATTTTACACTGTTTAGGGAATTTTTTAAAAATATTTAATTACCAATTGCTTAATGGTGGCAGACAATCATCTGACCCATAGGTGGCAGCCATCTCAAGCCAGAGGACGAGAGGACTCTAGCCGCCACGCATATAAAGGATTTATAGTGAAAAACTTTGTTTTTACGGGTAAATTTTTTCAACATACATCTGTCCGATGTCATCTTATCCCATAACATCAAATTCCTTCGATATGCTGATGATACACAATTGTACACCATAGTGAAGTTAAAGTTAGATTTGGAGAGCCTCGGTAACCTCGTATATTGCATGTGAGCGGTACACGTGTAGTTTGCACGAAACAAAATGCTGCTTAATCCAGAAAAATTGGAGGTTCGGCTGGTTGGGACTCAGGCAAATTGTGGATCAGGTGTGGCGGTCATGGACTTCAGGATACAATTTTATACTCATCTAAAGAGCCTCGGGCACCATACTCGAACAGAATATGTACTTTGCTCACGACATGCAGAATGTAGTCAAGTCCTGCAATTTTCATATCGAGGCTCTACGACAAATTCAACCACTATTGAGTCATGACATAGCCAATAACGCGGTGTTTACCATAGTATCGACAAGACTAAAATATTGCTACTCACTGCATGTATAAAATTCTCTGACGGGTACTGCAAGATCCGACCATGTCTGTCCAGTGCTCGCCGAGTTGTATTGCCTTCCAGGTTGCCAAACGAATACATTATAAGGTCTCACTCATACACACAAAGTGCTTGCCACAAATGAACCACAGTATCTTGCTGGTCTCACAAATGAGCATAAACCACACGAACTCCGATCAACCTCGCAGCGGATTTTGGCGAGCCATCAAGCAAAAGACGACTACTGCATCGAGCACTTTCAGATGCGCTTCTGCAGCCGTCTGGAACGCTCTTCCTATTATGAAGCCACTGGAGTAAGCAATTTCAAGTCTTTATTGAAAACTCATTTCTTTAGCACTGATTTTTGTTTAGTTTAGTTGTCCTTCCCCGGACCTCTGATTAGTACAGTTAGCTACGTAAGAAGTTCAACATACATACATAATGAACAATCCCTAAGCACATCCAATGCATTGCAAATCTATATATATTTTTATCCCGACTAGTTATTACTAGGAGATAAAACCAAAGATGTGAGGCACTCGGTTAGTACTATCTCGGTCAGTCCAAGTCCATCGATTAGCGTTCATTCATATTTGCTAAATAATTTTTACTGCATAAACCCAAGAAACCAGTGCATTTCAAGCCCCAAAAAGCTCAAGAATCATTATTTCCCAATTGCTATTGTGGGGAATTTACACATTTAGAAAAATAAGGCAACATCAGCATGTAATGCCTAATCTAGGCCAAGTACCAGAGCTTTCATCTTCAACTTTACAGTAGAAAACATTTTGCAAATACGGTGCCAGATTTTCTAAGTTATTGATACACCTTAGGCAATTTATATTGTCGACATATTCGAATGCTAGTACAAAATTACTTTTAGTTTTAAAATAGATCTATAAGTACGTGTGATGCAATTTGATTGTTAACAGTGCAGAGCAACTTAAGGCACAACAATTAAATATGAGCCTGGCTGGCTTGCCCATCCACGCGAAGAGCTGGGAAGTGTAGCATTTCACGCTGGGTTGCCCAGAAGGCCAGGCCTTTCTCATAGTAGGCTGCCTCATTGATAAAGGCAGGGATAGTGACACTAGGGCCCTTGTACGGAATGGTTGCTCCATCCAGAGTGAGGAATACAGGCTTTCCTGGATGCAGTGGCTCCCAGTCACGATCCTGCGAGGGTGATGAAGGAGAAAATGCACCAATGCAATTACATCTCCACTCGTCTTTAATTGGGGTGGTGGTATGTGTGTTGAGGTTAAAGACAACAGCAGTGCTGAGGGAAATAGTGTAGGATTCATAAGTAAACTCCATACTGAAGGGAATTCAAACTTAAAAATGTAATGAAGTAAATTATAATTTTTAATTAAAATTTGTATTTAATAAATACCAACATGTAAAACATAACTCAGTTATAAATTAAGATACTAATCGATAAAGTGTTGATAAGACATTCCTGGATTTCTATTTTGAGATATTTTACAAAAGAGATATGGGACTACTGCAAAGACAAAAATACAGGTTGCAAGGGTAAAAAAGCATAGATATTAAGGTGTAAAATGTTTGCAATGGTTTTTTAAGTTAGAGGCGAATTAACGAAAAGAGCAAAACCACCCTTTTGATGATGGACAATGCAGTGTGTAGGCAGTAGAGACCTGTAGATCAGGGTGGATGACGGCTGTCAAATTCCCATGCGAGTCCCGAGGGTAATCAATGCGCTCAGTGACACGGCACACCTCCAAGTTGCCAGCCGGAAACTCGTGTCCTACGTCACGCATTGCCAACAAGAAGCCACGTCACAACGTTAAAGCAATGTAGGCTGTTAATACGTAATGTATATACAGTAAAACCTTAGGATTACGAGTAACTTGGTCTGCGAGTATTTTGCAAGACGAGCAATTTTTAAAATAAATATTCATTTGATAAACGAGCGAGGTCTTGCAATACGAGTAGTACGTGTATACGCTTTGTCTGCTGAGCGTCACGTGATCACAACTGATATACGAGTGCTTTGGATTACAAACACGTTTCCAGAACGAATTATTCTCGCAATCCAAAATTTTACTGTATATTCAGAGACTGGATTGGCAGTCGTTGACAAATACATAACATAAAAAAATGACATGGGAAACTGAGGGAAAATATACTGCTAGGTGCAAGTAGCGAAGACACCCAACGGGACAGTAGAGCTGGCGATGTTACCGTGCGAACAGAATGGGGGTGGGTGCTGCAAGCTCTGCTACTGTGCAAGTGCAGATGGACGCTGCATGCAAAGTTGTTGTGCCAATGGGAAAAGGGGCAAAATGAGCAAAACTCATGTGTATGCCAATTGTCAACTGTGCGAGAAAACACTGGCTTAAATATTTCGTGCAAACCTTTGTGCTTTGTCCAGCCACATGGTTTATAAAGCCACACAAAAATGGGGATAATTTCCAATGAGTGCATGATGTTATTGACACTCTACACGAGTCCATCAGATCTTTCCCACATAAATTGGATTAAGTTATTTTATTTGTGTCCCGTGCGTGGGAAGAAAAAAAATGCAGAATTTTCCAACCTGTGTTGAAAAGATGCAGGAAGTCAAGGGCCGTTGTGACCAGCTTCCTCATGCGGATGAGAACATCTGCCCGTGCAACACCTTGTGGTTGAGGCCCAAGCTCTAGTGCTAAAACACGCATCATAAAAGTATAAAACAGAAGATAATTAAAGGAAAATTGTGTTTGGAAGCCGTGATGGTATATATTAAAACTCTAATTCTCTCCTCACACGTGTCGAGGCAAGGCGTAAGCGTTGTTCTCAGGTCAAGAGAGCTTGCACCATCTTGCGTTTTGCACTGCCTCATGGGTAAGTTTGCCTGACTACACGTGATCAGTCCATGACACGGTAACATGTTAGGTACATGTCACATTGAGCATCATCCCTTTCTGAAATTTAGTTTGGCTAATTCAAGTGTTTATACATTATTCGGGACACCCTGTAGGGGGTTGTGTAATAGTTCCTCAATAATTAATGGTGGATTAGAGTTGCCATTTTTCACATGTTGCTTTACCATTTTTTAAAGGCTGGTGGATAAATGAGGTTGTTGTGCATGTCCTCTGCACACCCATTGTTGGGCCACTGTAACTTTTTGATTTCTCTTAAACCGCTTTGGGGCTTTAATACTTCACATCTCTTTAGATGTGAACTGGCAGCTATACAAAATCAAGCCAAACCCTCAGCACGTGACATTTGTAAAATCTACCGAATAATGTACAAAAAGAGTTGAATAATAACATTTGTAACGGTCCAGATTTTGCACACAAGTCAACAACTCAGAGGCATGAAGCCAAACCCAGGGCGGCTCCAAAGCCTGACCAAACCGATAGGCCTTTAGATGTTTTCTTGAAAGTCAGAGTGCATTTAATGTTGCAGATTTGCAAAGGGATAAGAGTTCCACACCAAGGGGGCGACAGCAGAGAACCGACGTGAGCCTGTAACAGTTCGAGATCTTGGTGTTCGAAGCAGATTGAGTGACGCTGCCTAGGGTTCTACACTGAGCTTCAGTAGTGAGGCGAGGTATGATGGGGAACTGGCGGTGAAGGCACGGTGACAAAGGCAGGCGATTTTGTAATTTGTCCTGCTGGCGAAAGGGAGCCAATGAAGAGTATGGACAGCGGTGGCTGAGTCGAGTCATATAGATGATGAACACCAAGGACGACAGGAGCAAGGTTGTTCTCTAATCGTTGCAATTTGAGGATGTTTCTTTGATGATGATGAGAATGGCATTACAGTCGTCGATGCTAGACCCGACTATACTCCAGGCGAGGGTGTTCGCAATATCGATGGTAATGAGTGGACGTAGATGACGAAGAGCCTTGAGATGATCGTTGCAAGTTGTAATACATTATTACACATACCTAATAGTCTACAATAGTATACACTAATAGCAAAAATTTGTATCTATTTTTTCGTACACACTATAAAATATATGCAGTTACTTTGCAATACGCGCATGTCCTATTTCCAAATGCTTGGTTTTTCATTGCATTTGTGTCTTGTTTTTAAAATTAGCAAATTCAAACGAGCTGTCCATTTCAATCACATTTAAGCCATGGCCAGCGTGCTCCAAAAAATATCGAACCCGTGATAGCGGCGCTTCAGTCCAAGAAACGATTAAGACGAAGTTTCAGAGGTGGATCGGCATTTTTTAAAACATGTGAGCAGACTTCTTGGTTCTTTCGGTAAAGTCACGTAGAAGGGAAATAATAAAATAATAAAACATAATAAAATAATTCTCACGACGTTTCGGCCACAATGCAAGCAGTCGTCCTCAGGCGAAGAACAGGCGTTGTGGCCGAAACGTCGTTAGAATTATTTTATTATGTTTTATTTTTATTATTTCCCTTCTACGTGACTTTACCGAAAGAACCAAGAAGATGAATCCCTGCAGTCACGAAAGCTTTCAATCGAAATTTAATAATTTTATTATTTATTATTTATTATTATTTTATTATTTCCCTTCTACGTGACTTTATCGAAAGAACCAAGAAGATGAATCCCTGCAGTCACGAAAGCTTTAAATCGAAATTTAATAATTTTATTATGTTTTTTTTATTATCATTTTATTATTTCCCTTCTACGTGACTTTACCGAAAGAACCAAGAAGATGAATCCCTGCAGTCACGAAAGCTTTCAATCGAAATGTAAGCAGACTTCAATTTCTTTACTACCATGCACGTCATGGTTTTGGGTGAATAAGTAACAAAAAACATGACACTCAATAATTTCTCAATTGTGTCCATAGTATCATCCTTAAGAAAGCAGACGTTGGTGTATTGTACGTGACCTAAAAAAGGCCCTTTGTGGAAGAAGATCGTCAGGTTTGCTTACCAAGGCTATGCTTGGCTACAGATCTCCCTGTGGCATACTGCAGCACAGGGTGCTCTGTGAGTAGCACAGGGCATGGCATGGGTTGGCACTTGCTCTGAAGATCAAATGGAGAAACAGAAAGTGAAATAAAAAGCATTACAAAGCAACGGAATGCAGTGCCTCGCAATGTATGGTCAGCAGCCTCTCAAAAATGGACATCCGAACACCTTTACCTATAAATAAGCCTTACAATTGATACGTCTAGCAACACTGCCTTCAATTGCATAACCAACTACATGTTGTGAGTTAAATAAGCAACCTAACATTCTATCGGTTTAATATAGTAGACATATACCTACGCATATGTCATTGGCTGGCCAACATGTGTTTGCAGCTTACATTAGGCGTAACACTATTGCAGGTGTGTGCAAAGTTTAATTTAATCCTCACTGAAAAAAGCTTTAAATTTGTCTCAAGATAGCATGGAACACACAGTATAGATGTGTAACTACAACAGTAATTGTGTTTTGGGTTGCAAGTTCCTTTAGGTACTGGTGTGTCAGTTGGATTTGTGATAATAATCCTGTAGACTGTAGTTTTCAATAAAAGAGAGAAGATTGGTGTTGCGAAAAGCCACAAGGTAGTTGAGCGTGCTTACCAGAAAATCGATTACATGAAAAAGGCAGACATAAAAGAGTTGAAAAAAGGCAACTTATTGTGGATAGGTGAAAGATAATCAAAATGTAAGCCAGTCAACAGTAGTACAATAAAACCAGTTTTAAAAAAATAACAGATATTGGACAATGGCAGGTGGGATTTCGAAAGAATCAAACAAATGGTTTAAGCCACAAATCTCAGTACAGCACTTGAGAACTCAAATACTTAAGCTTGTTTATACATCCACAATCAGTTTCACCAACGAGGTCTAACATAACATCTTTGAGTGTATAATTACAAATGTATTTGTCTAATGCAGTTAATTTAAAATTAAAACTGTGCACACAAAACCTGTTTACGTGAAACCAGTTGGGTAGTCTAAACAAGCCTTGTGTAGTCTGCAAATAGACATCCTTACCTATGCCATGTTTGGATACACTAGTTGCATAACACCTCTCCACACCTGCCATCTCATTCAAGAACACTGGGCTGATTGCACTCTTACAGATGTCCTGTGGGAGGTCAGAAGTAAATATAAAGGTAGAAATTAAACACATTTTGGAGCAGTGCCTTGAAGAAAATTGGTGATCTTCCAGTGACGATTAAGCCATACATGATTGTTATTCTTTAGGATATCCTTTAAATTAGAACCAAAGATATTTAACCAATATCCTTCCGTAACTGGCCAGAGTTGGACCAACCACTGCCCGTCTGCATCTCAATTGCAGTGCAAAGTGGTGTGGGAACCTAAAATTAAATACGCTTTTCACAAGCCACAATTTTTTATGTTGAGTTTGCATGTGATCAAAGCCTCTTTCAAATAATCACGATTCGAAAAATGCCTTGACTTATTGGCAGGACCTTAGCATCGGTGAGAACCCATAGGCAAGTTACTTTACAACTGGTTTCTTGATTGTTTAAAAGTTACGGTGGACAAGAATAATTCAAAGTTGATTGACGTTAATTCTAGATTTAAAGCTTTCGTGACTGCAAGGATTCATACTCCTTGGTTTTTTCGGTAAAGTCACGTAGGTAAAAAATAAAATAAATGAAAACTGAAGGACGCTTGTGTTGCGCCCGAAACGTCGTGATTTAATTTAGTTGTTTTCATTTATTTTATTTTATTTTTTACCTAAGTGACTTTACCGAAAAAAACAAAGAGTAGGTTGATTGACATTTTCCATGACCAAGAAGGTATATTACATTTGTTAATTGTAAAATATATATTTCTCAAATATATACAAATATTGAATCTTGCATGATATTTTGGAATAAACAAAACAGCTCATGTTTGATGCATCACCTGCATGTATCGAGCCATGTGCAAGGCCAAGATGTCGGCGGAGTTAGACACAATCAGGCAGTTGCCCATGTTCGACGTGGTGTTGTGCATGTCTATTATAAAGTCAAAGGCTTGATCCGAGCCCTTGGGCCCAAACAGGCGATTTAGTTCTTGTGCTCGTAGAGTCTCATACGGGGTGTCCTCCTTTACTTCCACCCTTTGTGAATCAAAAACACAAAATACAAAAAAGGCGTCATGTTAATAGTTTCAACTAGCTGAAATTCATGTGACCAGATGAAAAGTTGATATTCACTTTGATAATACATTTTATCAAGTGATCATTAGCCAATAATTGAGGCAGTTTCATTATTAGACATAAGCCAGGTTCCATCCTCATAGCCCAGTGATGCCACAATCCTATGAGCTGATCTTATTTTTCCATCTCCATGGTGGTTATCCTCTCTAGCATGTACTCTCCTTTGACTGGCACTCCACCATTACCACTCTCGACCATTGGCCATCAACCCCTGCTAGCGAACCGTCTTGCCCAATCCCACTTACTTTTCCACACAGAAAATATCAACTCACCTTGTGTCAATTTTCATAAGACATAAATCATAAAGTTTTTCTTTACAAAAAATTCCATGCATGTATTATGAGCATAACAATACATTTTAATTGACGAATTGCTGCAAGCCCACCACTTAATCCTAGTCAATACTTCATAGAATCAAAATGTCTGGATTCCAAACAAGAAGTGGGAAACATACTTCCTGCTGCAATTGCAGATACCTTGTATCTAGGTGTTCTGACGCTTACAAGGATTCCCCCGGGAAAGACATAACCAGGCTAAAACAAGGCACACGATGGGATGACGGGCACTCTCACTTACGCGAGCTGTTCGTGCGTGAAACAGCGGTTGAGATCGGTGTCAATGTAACGTGTGCAGCGCTGCACGGCACGGGGGTTGGCCACGACAGGCGTGCTGCTGAACGACGGACGAGATATCTCCGCAGCTGCCTCGCCAGCGTCCGACAGCCAGTGGCGCGCCAAGCACACCCCGGACATTTCGTCTCCATGTGTGCCGCCAAAGATAGCCACGCGGCTGACGGGTGGCACCGATTCCATCCTTTGCAAGCTGCTTGGGAGACATACCGACGCATACGAGAGGGGCTGAAACTGGTCTGGTGTGGATGTTCAGTGCGAATCATTGCAATCATAGCATGAGGAATTTCACAACATTTGCTTATCCCCAACAACAGCAATAGCCACCAAATCACCACTAGGTGGTGGTGGTGAACATCGCTGAAGTGCTTATGCCAGGCTGTCAACTTTAAGGTTGTTAAGAGTGGCACGTATGCAACTGTTTTTAGTTGTGTGCCCAAACCAGGTGTATATACATGTGTAAAGTTTGCATTCGTGTTAGGTATGTGTTTAACAGGTTTATGTGAGAATAGGGTTTCCCCTTTTTTCTGTTAAGTATGTGTCCGTGACATTCTGTATGTACAGTACCCGTCAGCTAAGTACAGTACTTAATCAGGACACGTCTAAGTCTGTGTTAAAATTTTAACTGGATTAGGGGCCGTCCATAAATGACGTCACGCACCTAGGGGGGGGGGGGGGTTGAGAAATGTGACGTCACATCCAAATGCGCAACTTTAAATAAATACTATATAGACAACACGTTCTACTTAATTAAATATACATTCAGTGCATGTAGTACCTTGTACACTAGGTTACGTTACATTCAGTGCAGTACCGTGTACACTAGGTTACGTTACATTGAGTGCAGTACCATGTACACTAGGTTACGTTACATTCAGTGCAGTACCTTGTACACTATGTTACGTTACATTCAGTGCAGTACCGTGTACACTAGGTTACGTTACATTGAGTGCAGTACCATGTACACTAGGTTACGTTACATTCAGTGCAGTACCGTGTACACTAGGTTACGTTACATTCAGTGCAGTACCGTGTACACTAGGTGACGTTACATTCAGTGCAGTACCGTGTACACTAGGTTACGTTACATTTAGTGCAGTACCGTGTACACTAGGTGACGTTACATTTAGTGCAGTACCGTGTACACTAGGTTACGTTACATTCAGTGCAGTACCATGTACACTAGGTTACGTTACATTTAGTGCAGTACCATGTACACTAGGTTACGTTACATTCAGTGCAGTACATTGTACACTAGGTTACGTTACATTCAGTGCAGTACCGTGTACACTAGGTGACGTTACATTCAGTGCAGTACCGTGTACACTAGGTTACGTTACATTCAGTGCAGTACCATGTACACTAGGTTACGTTACATTCAGTGCAGTACCATGTACACTAGGTTACGTTACATTCAGTGCAGTACCGTGTACACTAGGTTACGTTACATTGAGTGCAGTACCATGTACACTAGGTTACGTTACATTCAGTGCAGTACCGTGTACACTAGGTTACGTTACATTCAGTGCAGTACCATGTACACTAGGTTACGTTACATTCAGTGCAGTACCATGTACACTAGGCTACGTTACATTGAGTGCAGTACCGTGTACACTAGGTTACGTTACATTCAGTGCAGTACCATGTACACTAGGCTACGTTACATTCAGTGCAGTACCGTGTACACTAGGTTACGTTACATTCAGTGCAGTACCATGTACACTAGGTGACGTTACATTCAGTGCAGTACCGTGTACACTAGGTTACGTTACATTCAGTGCAGTACCATGTACACTAGGTTACGTTACATTCAGTGCAGTACCATGTACACTAGGTTACGTTACATTCAGTGCAGTACCATGTACACTAGGCTACGTTACATTGAGTGCAGTACCGTGTACACTAGGTTACGTTACATTCAGTGCAGTACCATGTACACTAGGCTACGTTACATTCAGTGCAGTACCGTGTACACTAGGTGACGTTACATTCAGTGCAGTACCGTGTAGAATGCGTTACGTTACATTCAGTGCAGTACCGTGTACACTAGGTTACGTTACATTTCGTACGTTACCGTGTACACTTGATAACGTTACATTCAGTGCAGTACAATGTACACCAGGTTACGTTACATTGAGTCCAGTACCATGTTCCGTAGGTTACGTTACATTTAGTGCAGTACAATGTACACTAGGTTACGTTATACTCCGTACGTTACCGTGTAGCCAGGGTTACGTTACATTCCATGCAATACGTACCCGCCTTAGGCCACCTTAACGTTACATTTAGCGCATTAAAAACGTCGCATGGGGCATGCCAAGCGTTACATTTCCGTGGGCGTCGTTTCGGGAGTCCGCGACGATTTATCGATTCGGAAAACGACGACTCTGAGGGGAGAGAGAGGGGGGCGCTGAGGGGAGAGAGAGGAGCTTCACGTGATCAAGATGACCGCACTCACTCACCCGGCCCGGGGTCGTTGTTGTTGTTCGTGAAGAGAAGGGAGAGACCGTCGTTGTTGCTGTTGCTGTCGCTGTCGCAACTTTCAACGACGTGGTGGTGGTAGGTAGGGGGGGGGCGTGTGTGTGGAGACGTAGCGAGTGCGATAAATCAAAGACATCGACCAACAAGCGTTGATTGTAAGATCTCTTTGCGTCTCCGAGGGGCGGTGAAGGAGAAAGTTTCAAAGTCCAACGCGGCGGCCACCATCTCCACACCCCCCCACCAGCTCCACACCCCCCCCACCAGCCCCCACCAGCCCCCACCAGCCCCGCCCCACCCCCCCCAGCCCCCCCCACACCCCCCCCACCAGCCCCCACCAGCCCCGCCCCACACCCCCCCCACCAGCCCCAACCAGCCCCGCCCCACCCCCCCCCCAGCCCCCCCCACACCCCTCTCACCACCCCCCCACCAGCCCCCACCCCCCCACCAGCCCCCACCCCCCCACCAGCCCCCACCCCCCCACCAGCCCCACCCCCCCACACCCCCCACCAGCCCCACACCCCGCCACCAGCCCCACCCCACCCCCACCAGCCCCACTTCCCCCCACCCCCCCCCACCAGCCCTACCCCCCCCCACCCGCCCCACCCCCCCCTGGGCGTCACGTGACCACGCCCCATTCAGAAAAGTTGACGGTATTCAGTCAATCTTAACTTCGGAGCATTCAGTCATTCAGAAAAGTTGACGGCATTCAAAGATTTAAAGCTTTCGTGACTGCAGGGATTCATATGATTGGTTCTTTCGGTAAAGTCACGTAGAAGGGAAATAATAAAATAATAAAAATATAAAACATAGAAAAAGAGAATTTATTATTATTATTTTATTATTTCCCTTCTACGTGAAAAGTCAAGAATATGACATTCAAAAAGTTAATGTTCACGCAAATTACACACAAAAGCGCCAAGACCCATCCTTTTTCGGTGCCAGAACGACAGAAGCTCATGGAGAACGACTGTGCTCAATGAACCCTTCCATTGTCATCTTTGATATTCCCTCTTATGAATTCTTTCTTTCATAGAATATGGGCAGGACCTTATAGGGGTCTCGTTCATCAATGCAATGGTGTGACACAGGGTTACCGCCTTCCCTGTCTGTTCAGAAAATACATTAGGGAAACGCCCGAGCAATTCCAACAAGGAATCTTTGCTTTCTCCACCCGCTATCTTAAGCCGAACCTGATCAACATTTATAGGAGTGGGCTGTTTCCATATTTCAGCAATGGAAAAGTAACGCTCAATGGCGAAACCAACAATCATATTGCCACATCAACAACATAGCGCGTAGTACAGAAAAAATCGACCCCAAGAACCATTTACAATGATAAATCTGAGACAGCTAAAAAATCGCATCACATCTTTGTCCCCCCCACACTTATACAGAGAGGGACTTGCCCTTGAACTCGCAATACCGAATTATCTGCCAACGTGACTGTCAGTCCTTTTCTCAAAAATGTGTTAACGCAAACACAATTTGAGTTATCAACGAAAGGCTGATCATGCACCTTAAACAACACGAGTCCCTTTGACACTGCCAAAAGTCGAGAGCGTGTAGACTGTGACCCTGCTATATTTGCAACCCAGCGTTTTGACAACTTTCCTGGTGGACGAGAACGAACTGCGCCTGCTTTAAACGTTTTCACGAAACATCGAATAATAAATTATGTTAATCGAGCACGGGAAAACTCCATATAATAAATTATGTTAATCGAGCACGGGAAAACTCCATATAATAAATTATGTTAATCGACCACGGCCAAACATCGAATAATAAATTATGTTAATCGACCACGGCCAAACATAGAATCATGAATTATGTTAATCAACCACGGCCAAACATCAAATCATGAAATATGTTAATCGACCACGGCCAAACATCGAATCATGAATAATGTTAATCGACCACGGCTAAACATCGAATCATGAATTATGTTAATCAACCACGGCCAAACATCGAATCATGAATTATGTTAATCAACCACGGCCAAACATCGAATCATGAATTATGTTAATCAACCACGGCCAAACATCGAATCATGAATAATGTTAATCAACCACGGCCAAACATCAAATCATGAATTATGTTAATCAACCACGGCCAAACATAGAATCATGAATTATGTTAATCAACCACGGCCAAACATCAAATCATGAATTATGTTAATCAACCACGGCCAAACATCGAATAATAAATTATGTTAATCGACCACGGCCAAACATAGAATCATGAATTATGTTAATCAACCACGGCCAAACATCAAATCATGAATTATGTTAAATGACCACGGCCAAACATCGAATATGAATTATGTTAATCGACCACGGGCAAACATCGAATCATGAATTATGTTAATCAACCACGGGCAAACATCGAATAATAAATTATGTTAATCAACCACGGGCAAACATCGAATAATGAATTATGTTAATCAACCACGGGCAAACATCGAATAATAAATTATGTTAATCAACCACGGGCAAACATCGAATATGAATTATGTTAATCGACCACGGGCAAACATAGAATCATAAATTATGTTAATCGACCACGGCCAAACATCGAATAATAAATTATGTTAATCAACCACGGCCAAACATAGAATCATGAATTATGTTAATCAACCACGGGCAAACATCGAATCATGAATTATGTTAATCGACCACGGCCAAACATCAAATCATGTATTATGTTAATCGACCAAGGCCAAACATCGAATCATGAATTATGTTAATCAACCACGGCCAAACATCGAATCATGAATTATGTTAATCGACCACGGCCAAACATAGAATCATGAATTATGTTAATCAACCACGGCCAAACATCAACTCATGAATTATGTTAATCAACCACGGCCAAACATAGAATAATGAATTATGTTAATCAAACACGGCCAAACATCAAATAATAACTTATGTTAAGCAACCACGTCCAAACATCGAATCATGGATTATGTTAATCAACCACGTCCAAACATCGGATAATGAATTATGTTAATCGACCACGTCCAAACATCAAATAATAACTTATGTTAATCGACCATGGCCAAACATCGAATCATGAATTATGTTAATCAACCACGTCCAAACATCAAATAATAACTTATGTTAATCGACCACGGCCAAACATCGAATCATGAATTATGTTAATCAACCACGGCCAAACATCGAATAATGAATTATGTTAATCAACCACGTCCAAACATCAAATAATGAATTATGTGAATCGACCACGTCCAAACATCGAATAATGAATTATGTTAATCAACCACGGCCAAACATCAAATAATAAATTATGTTAATCGACCACGGCCAAACATCGAATAATGAATTATGTTAATCAACCACGTCCAAACATCGAATAATGAATTATGTTAATCAACCACGTCCAAACATCGAATAATAAATTATGTTAATCAACCACGTCCAAACATCGAATAATGAATTATGTTAATCGACCACGGCCAAACATCGAATCATGAATTATGTTAATCGACCACGTCCAAACATCAAATAATAAATTATGTTAATCGACCACGTCCAAACATCGAATAATGAATTATGTTAATCAATCACGTCCAAACATCGAATAATAAATTATGTTAATCGACCACGGCCAAACATCGAATAATGAATTATGTTAATCGACCACGGCCAAACATCGAATAATGAATTATGTTAATCGACCACGGCCAAACATCGAATAATGAATTATGTTAATCGACCACGGCCAAACATCGAATAATGAATTATGTTAATCGACCACGGCCAAACATCGAATAATGAATTATGTTAATCGACCACGGCCAAACATCAAATAATAACTTATGTTAATCGACCACGGCCAAACATCAAATAATGAATTATGTTAATCGACCACGGCCAAACATCAAATATGATTTGAAGCTTTCGTGACTGCAGGAATTAATATTTGGTTCTTTCGGTAAAGTTAGATTTTTTTTAAAATTAAGTTATAAAATGTATTTTCTAGGTGACTTTACCGAAAGAAGCAAAGAGAAACATCGAATAATACATAATGTTAATTTAACACGTCCAAAAAATGTAACCATGAATTGTGTTAACTTAACACGTTTAAACATTTGAATGTACATTATGTTAATTAAACACGTGCAAACATTGAATACACATTATGTTCATTAAACACGTGCAAACATTGAATGCACATTATGTTAATTAAACACGTCCAAACATTGAATGCACATTATGTTAATTAAACACGTGCAAACATTGAATGCACATTATGTTAATTAAACACGTGCAAAATTGAACACACATTATGTTAATTAAACACGTGCAAACATTGAATACACATTATGTTAATTATACACGTGCAAACATTGAATGCACATTATGTTAATTAAACACGTGCAAACATTGAATGTACATTATGTTAATTTACCTCGTGCAAACATTGAACGCACATTATGGTAATTAAACACGTGCAAACATTGAATGCACATTATGTTAATTAAATACGTGTAAACATTGAACGCACATTATGTTCATTAAACACGTGCAAACATTGAATGCACATTATGTTAATTAAACACGTTCAAACATTGAATGCACATTATGTTAATTAAACACGTGCAAACATTGAATGCACATTATGTTAATTAAACACGTGCAAAATTGAACACACATTATGTTAATTAAACACGTGCAAACATTGAATGCACATTATGTTAATTAATCTCGTCCAAACAGTGAATGCACATCATGTTAATTAAACACGTGCAAACATTGAATGCACATTATGTTAATTAAACACGTGCAAACATTGCATGCACATTATGTTAATTAAACACGTGCAAACATTGAATACACATTATGTTAATGAAACAGTCCAAACATTAAATGCACATTATGTTAATTATCCTCGTGCAAACATTGAATGCACATTATGCTAATTAAACACGTGCAAACATTGAATACATATTATGTTAATTGAACACGTCCAAACATTGAATGCACATTATGTTAATGAAACATCCAAACATTGAATATACATTATGTTAATTAAATACATCCAAACGTTGTAAATATTTATGTTAATTAGGCTCCGCCCATCTCCCCCCCCCCCCCCCACCCCGCTGGCAGCATTGCCTGCCACACTTCGTTGTGAGGGAGGGAGCGAGCGTCACCATGCCGTGCACGCTGATCGCCAGGGAACTCGCTCGCGGTTGTCTCGGGAGGCGCTCGTGTTCGCTTGCGACTGCGAGGTAAATCCTCTTATCCGCCTTTTCCCCGGCACCAGACGTATCTTTATAACTTTTGCACTTTTAGCGCCGTTAAGCGTCTTCCCTTCGGAGCTCTGGGCTCAGCCAGGCGTTTTCCTAGCTTTGTTGCGGTAGCCTGTGGCTAGGCCTCCCGCGACGACCCTTCAACAATAACCCCCCCCCCCCCCCCCTGTAGGGACTCACTTGATATTGCACGCATGTGGTTGTTTATTCGAGATCTCGTGCAATTGTGTATTGACAGTGATTGGTAACACATTCATTGCAATCGTGATGGCGGTATTTCATTGCTCAATTATTTACTTTAAACACAGAGATGCATAACGTAAACAACCCGCATTTACGTCGCATACAATGTAATATGCGTGCCCCAGCAAAGCCTCACTGAGTCTTTAAGACTTATATTCTTGGTTCTTTCGGTAAAGTCACGTAGAAGTGGACTTTATCGATGGAACTAAGAATATGAATCTCTGCAGTTACGAAAGCTTTAAATCGAAAAATCTTTAAGACTTGTTTAAATAGTGTTTAAAAAATATATCCTTAATTGTTGCACTCCAATTGATTTGATTTTGCTGTTATTATTTTGGTCACCCAGGTCACTCTTGCAAATGGTACGACAGTATTCTAGTTTCTTGAGTTATTACTTTTTTGCTTAAATGAAATCAACTTTAGTTTGGCCAATGCTATTAATTAGTGATGTGCGCGCGAGGAACCCCTAGAGACTACACAAAAATAACAAGCGGTGATAATTCGTATGCAATAGCTTGAAATGTTATTTTTGCACATAGGGCTTTCAATTATAGGCTTACAGAGGCGATGATGCTATTTCATTTATAGTGTGGCCGGAAACACAGTGCTTGTAGTGAAGAGTTAACACCGGGCTAATGTCTTCTTGGTTCTTTCGGTAAAGTCACGTAGAATGGAAATAATAAAATAATGAAAAATTTAACAATTTTCCATTCTACGTGACTTTACCGAAAGAACCAAGAAGATGAATCCCTGCAGTCACGAAAGCTTTAAATCGAAATTTAACCGGGCTAATGCTTAAGTGAGTGTAAATTTTGTACGATAAATTTGTTGTCAATCACCAAATTGCATGGGATGCACCTCGATTTGGTCAGATTTTGGAATCCAGGCAGGATTGAGGTTTCAGAAAGCGCTTGGGGTTTGATGACCACCATACACAACAGGTTGTTTTGCCCTCATCCAGCAGTGGATCGACAAAGTGGGGAAAGTTATACACCACTGGAACTCTGTAATGATCATTGAGCCAAAAATGCGTCGTGGTCCACTGTTTCAAAAGCATGTTGTTTTTGGAACAAAGTCCAATGTGACCGGGCAAAGGTTCTGGAAAACAAGGACAGTCCTTACTCAGCACGTTGTAAAGCCTCTTTTGCCGTGTAAACACGTGTGTTTGAACCCGGATAGGGTAGAAGGTTACGCCGGGGGTGTGGGGAACCCCTTTCATCCAATCATCACGCGTTCTCGCATGACATTTTGCTTCACCTTTTATGCCCGCCCGGTCCCACGCGATTACTGGATTGATAAATGGTCAACGATTGACATGGCATTTGTTGCGGGGGATTTTCAAGCATCTGTTAACATGAATCAAAAACGATTATAGATAGCACACTTTGTGTTACAGTACACGCAAAAGCAAAGTGTACACCTGGTCAAGTGAGCACTGGTTGGCCCTGAGTGAGTTGTGAAAACTTCATATATTTATAACAGGGGACAGCCTCAGGTAGTTTGCACCGGTATTGCTTTTCTAAATAGGGGTTACTGATTGTATCTCCTCTGCAGGAATGATAGCCTGATTTAACCCCAAAATTGGCTTTAAAACCTTTTAATGGCCAACTGGTTATTTTAAAATTAACCACGTTCGTGTGCCATCCTTATCTTACAATTTTGTGGAAACGGTGACCATATTTCTATAATCATTATTTGAAGCTTTCGTGACTGCAGGAATCCATACTCTTTTGTTCTTTCGGTAAAGTCACGTAGGTATAAAATAATTTTATAAGAGTCCATATTTCTATAGTTTATTTCTTAATTAAAACTTTGAAATGTTGAACCCATAAGACAGCTACACTGGTGAATTTAGCTTCATGGCTTCTGTTTATTACAAATTCTAGAATAGCTGACAAACTGCATATCTAAGCATGACATATCACAATTGGAGGGCCAGTTAAATATTCTTATATAAGCACACAACTTTATCTGTGATGAATGCTGCACTTTCCGTCGTTTTCATGCAGGGGGCGCTGCAAACATACGCGCCCCCTGCATGAATGACGGATGCGCAGGGACAGACGTTCGATTACGTTGGAATCGATCTGCAGACGGCGGTCTTCTTGCACGGCCAGCAGCTCGATGTCGCCTTATCTCGATCCTGCAATCCCAAATAGGTGAAAGTCCGCATCGAACCGAACCCCCAAAAAGGCCATCTACTTAACGACGAGAGAAAATTCACACGAAATGTCCTTTTCAATTAAGTCTTCCAGATGTAAAATGATATAAGTTTTTAGTGAAGAAATTAAATAATCTAATTCAAAACATAATACAATTCCAAGATGTTTCATTTTAAAACTTCAAAACGGAGCATCGGGTGCTTGCGTGAATGCGTCGTTCGTGTGCAATTTTTTTCGTGACTTTCCTGGCCGAAGGCCGTAAATGGTCGTGAAGGGCACCGCAGGTACCCCCGAATAACCCCTAGTGTCTCTATATGCAACCTAAGTCTGTTGCACCTTCATCCATAAATTTGTCACTCCAGCTCCCTTAAATGTGTCTATACTTTTCTTAATCGTGTTGTCTGCATATTGATCTGGATATCTTATTCTGCAGTGTGCTCCGGTGTCACATTGACAGAAGGTGTGTTGCGATCTCTGCTTACAGATGCTTGTCCGTGTCGGCTGCATGCCGGGAGAAGGAGCGAGGGTGGCTCAAGAAGATGTTCGTGCAGAAGGTGGACCCACGCACAGATGCACACTCTAACCTGCTCTCCAAAAAGGAGACGAGCAGCCTCTACAAGCTGCAGCGTGAGCCAACTTGTTCACTCACCACATTCCCACGTACTGACATTGCATCTTGCTCCTCTACCCCATCATCGCTATTATCATCATGGTCATCCGTGTAAGGTGAGCATTGCATTGAGGCAGTTTGGTGCTCATGGATGCTGTTCCCCATTTTCGTAGGTATTGATGAGGGTAGGTCTAATTGGCCGTACTTGTTAGCATCGATGATTGCTCGTTTCAGTGTTAGGTCCTGTGTTTGTGGTGGGTATGCTGGATCCCAGTTGCAGGCTTCAGCAGTCTCCCATCCACTTCATTGCCATGAAATGATATCATATCATAGCCTTTCATTGGTCATCATCACCCAGAATTCATGAACACAACAGCATTCCGAGGATATTGGTGTGCGTCACGATAACAGATTATTCCAAGTTTGTTCTATGTATAGTGAATGTTAGCATTTGTTTTTTTACATATCATGGAATAATTTTACACTTTAATGTCAGTGTAAAACAATTTATGGTTACAATTCGTACACTGCATGTCTCCTTTTCATTATTTATGAGCATTGTGTCAAACATGGATTGTAAGATAGTTATTTTGTTCCAATTACAGTTAGAAACATTCGATCTGTAATCCTCATTACCGCAAATCCTGTTCTTTGTGAGGGCCTGGAGATCCACAGTTTTCCCTACTCGCATTGTATTAAACTGGCCTTAAGGACTAAGTTTGTGCACAGCGCAAGCTCCCATGTTGACATAGAGTCAATCATCGATAATTATCCTGCGGCTTCAGGGGGAGGGAGCGCCGGGTATTTTTTTTTATCATAATTTTTTTAAATAGCATATTTTTGCACATTCTTTTTAGATGTATGGTTTTTTGTGTTTTTAAATGTGTTTACTATATGATATTGGCATAAATAAACGTAGAAATAGACAAAAATAAATTTGCTACTTTAAAAGTGATGGTATTTACTGTGCCGTACTTACCACTCCAATCTCGAAGACTTTGCGTGGGGTGATGTATATAGTGCAGTATTTTCATTGTTTATGTTGTATGCAGTGTGTAATGTACTGTCGATAATATTTGACACTGAATTCAAGCGTTACTACTTTTTTTGTCACACACATGGTGCCGATCGCCGGACTGGTTACAGCCCTTTGGAGCGGATTTTGCCGGTTTTGCCGGATCAGCCCTGGAAGTGCCGGATAATGTTGGAAGCAGCCGGATGGATAATAGCACGGTGCCGGATAATCCATGATCAACTGTATGCAAGTGGATGGCGATCTGCTTGATATGCGCCGAGCCAAGCAGATTCTAAGGGAAATGGGTCCAACATTTTCGTTGTGACGGTGATGTGTTTGAGCATGCCATTCTTGTCAAGTTTCAAGCATGGTAGTTGCCAATTTACTGGCTAGGGCATAGAGCGGCTGGTGGCTTCCATTCTGTTGTTCACAGCTCGAGATAAATCAGCTTGATTGTGTAATCTTACACAACCACAACACGATTTTATAATGCTTCATGAAGCATTATAAAATCGTATTTTTGACATCACTTTCGCTCCAATATCAACAGGACTTAACCTACTTTATTCATTTATACTTCCATATGTAAATAACGATTATATCTTTTGTCGAGGTATTTTCGTACCTTTGTAAAAGTAAGTGTCGTGTTCAGGCTTTTTTTTTATAAATAAGCGCCTCGCTGCACGTATTGATGTGTATGCAAACCAACGTTGGACCCCGCTTCCAAAGTGCGTTCGGAATACCGCAGTACGGTGCATATATTATATGCACGCGAGGGCAGACGCACTTTTATGGTCATGTATGCAGTTGCTCATCGATTATCCGGCTGCTTCCAACAATTTACAACGGTCCGATCCGGCGAAACCACTCAAAAAGGCTGTTGATTATTCCGGCGATCAGCACCATGTGCATGACAAAAAAAGGTAGCTACGCTTGCTTTCAGTGTTAAATAATATAGTTGGTACATTTCGCACTATGTACATCTTAATGAAAATACTCTTTTAGTCTACCTATGACTGAATATCTCTTCTCTAACATACATATGTACTGTACATATTACATGATGTCCTTGCCAACCACTGTTGCTGCTTACAGTGGTTGTATTTACACTCTATTCAAATTGTTAGGTATTGTCATGCATATGAAAATATCACATGTGAAATGGTGTTGTATGGAGTGTGGGGCAAAGTTTTGACAGAAAATATGATAATGTTTCTTTTGCACAAAGTTCATGAAATCAATAGCCTGGCGTCCATGAATGCACTTTGACATGCGGGCAAATGCAAGTGACATGACATACTCTTTGGTTCTTTCGATAAAGTCACGAAGGGATAACAAAAAAAAGTTAAATAAATCAAATCACGACGTTTCGATTGCAACACAAGCAATCGTCATCAGGTGGGAAAATTTTTTTTTTGCTGAAGTGGGAGAGAGAGTTGCCGTGGTAAGAGGTTATATAGGTAAGAAAGGGGGAGGAGCAAGGGGGGAGAGGGAGGGGCGTGGGGTAGGGGGAGGAGCAAGGGGAGAGGGAGGGAGGGGTGTGGGGTAGGGGGAGGGAGAACGCTGCGTGGACGTGAGGAGAAGGACGTGAGGCTGGGGGGGGAAGTGGGCGGGGCTATTTTATTTTCTACCCACGTGACTTTACCGAAAGAACCAAAGAGTATGGATCCCTGCAGTCACAAAAACTTCAAATCTAGATTGAGATGACATAGCACGGTTGGCTACGTACGGTGCGAAAGAAGTTCAACACTACATACGTACAGGCTTACCCCGTGGCTTAAATTTACTTGAACCATAGCCAAACTTGTGCGCCATTCTGCTCACATTTATTTGAGAATTGGTGAAAAAGCATGTGGATTCATCGATAGTCATAATTCCAAATCGTATGTTCATCAGCTTAGTTAATGGGTTAGTCCACCCAGCTTTGTATTAAATCTAGGATCCTCAGGTCATGAAAACAGACCGGTCGGGTAACAAAAACCATCCCTTGAAAATGTGGGAAACTTATAGCTGTAAGCGCCGACCAAATCAGTACAGTTAACTTTAATCAATCTTTGTCATTTGACAGTTCACAACGTGAAGCCAGAAAATCTAGAGGACTACAACACAATCTCGTAAGTTGTGTATCGTACAATGAAGATTTAGATTTTGTTGAAATGTATAAAGTTTTTTTAATTATATATAATGCAACATTGACAACTCCAAAATGAGTTTGGCCTCAACATTTTTGAAAGGTGAAACTTAGATCGTCCATAACATTATTTTCTACTTGTTTTTATTTTCCTTAAGCCTGCAATTGTTTTCACAGTTAACCACAACCACTTGTTGATCATTGCCTGCCCACGTCTCCCAACAAAAAAATTCATGGAGCATCACTCATCTTCAGAGAGCATCATCGCTTTACTTCGCATAATACAAAGCAAAAAAAACAATCCCAAAGAGCTCTTATCTGTTAGGTATGTCTCTAGGTTGAATGTCATCGGCTGTCCACAATGATTGCCCTTGTTTCTCTTGAGGCACATCAGCGTGTTGCTCTCATTATCAAGCTAAGTTTTCCCAAAGCACTCAAACCTGTTCTCAAGGGATATTTGTCATCATAAGCAGATGTGTTATCTTCATCATCGTTACCCGTATAATTGTACCTGCAAAGTTTCACAGTGAAGTTAAAATGATGAGCAAAAGTTTGTCAAATCGCTTTCCTATCTTCCGTTTTCCATAGTGCATCTTTTCTCCATGTTGTGTTAATCTAGAAATGCTGATGAGCTTTCTGGTAACGTGATGCTGAAATATGGCCCATGTTGGATGCGTTTTTATTTGGTTCCAATTAAAGCCACATTTTAAAAAAAGTCAAGCTGTTGGTTTTGGTGCTTTGCCAGCGTGCATTGTGGATCTCATGGACAGCGTTTTCGTACTGCAGAGCGGAGGCACTGATGAAATTGCACAACGATGCGAGCTACCCGTGCGAGCTGGTGGGCTCTTGGAACACGTGGTACGGCGAGCAGGACCAGGCCGGTATGTACGCATGGTGTGCATGTGCACCGCATGGGTATGCCACACGCATCATAGCATATATCATGAATGAAACGTGCAAATATACCAGTGTGGCCTAGTGCATAGGTACAGTGTACGAGACTACAATCGGATACAGCGCTCGGCTACAGCATAATAGTTAAAGGAGAAACACAGCGTTAATGTTTAGTGCACAGCAATGGCATGCACACACAGCACTCGTATGTACCACCAATATAGTGATCAGGTACACCAATATAGATGATGGAGCGTCAACTTAATCTTGGGCAGGTGTGCTGCAAAGCCATATCATTATAGCACTTGCAATGCCCCTCGAAGGGAATGAAAAAAAAACATCTCCAGTGCATTGCTCATGTCTTCAGTATGAGCAATGCAGTCTGTGGTGTTGTTACCAGTGTGTGGACTACATAGCCACAGCATCTAAAGCGACAAAAGTGTGTAGACCTGTGTAGCAACACCAATGCTGGCGAAGAGACAAGGTTTGTAACCACAGTGCCATCTGGCCAGATCGACAGTGAATAAGTAATACTCAATATGTGATGAGGCACACCATCCTTTCATTTTTAATAATCACATCGTGGTATTATCAGCCTGGAATTTCCCGTACAATCATGGTCAGCTTAAGTTGGCAGCAAAGAGGTGAGAACGTGGGAGTGATAGGGTGGAGGGTTATTTTTCCAGTTCAGTGCACAAGCTTTGTACCCTGTCTTCAATACACTTGTATACAAATAACCAAGGGAATGAGCTATTCAATTTTTTTAAACTCCAGTGGTAGATTTGGGGAGTGAGAGGGCAATTCCTTTGACGGGCTTTGAGAAGGGGGTGTGGATTTAGGGTTGGAGAGTCTGTATGCTGACGTGTGTGTTTACATGGGCGTCCATGTTATGAACTGGATGTCACTGTTTTTGTTCGGTGCATGTGCATGGTTGGTAGTGAGGCATGGTGAAGGGTACTTTTCTGACATCATTCAGACAAGTACCCGCCTGATGGACGCATCAGAACTCCATGAAGGCTCACAGCTATTCATTGGCTTGGGGGGGTGTGGTCCCAACATGACTACTCTTGCGAAATCAAAACAGTGAACCTACATCGAGGGTGTGCTTGGCCACTTGAGCATGCGGAACAAGTGCAGGCCACTTGTTGATAATAGGGAATGTGCAGCACTGGCAGAGCAAGAATAGCACAGCACCATGCATGTATGGACTCATAAAGGTACAAAAGCTTGTATGTATGTGTATATATTGAACTTATTTCGCATTAGTCAGTCGCGCTAATCGAAGGTGCGGGGTGAAGAACAACGAAACTAAACTAATTTAGATTTAAAAGTGCGTAGCTCCAGTGGCTTACTAATATTGGAAGAAAGAGCGTCCCAGACGGCTGCAGAAGCGCATCTGAAAGTGCTCGATGCAGTAGTCGTCTTTGCAGAATGTTGGTTCGTTGTTTCGTCCTATTGCCTGTGTCACTGGAGCACCTACATACAGAGTTCTCAGAGCTGCTAGCTAACATCCTGTAGGATATACAGCATATATTGTCATCACAAATGTTGCAGAGGATCTAACTATTCTGAACATTTTCTATCGCGACCTCTTTCGAGTCCATTCCGGTCACAAATGTGCATTCATCACATGGAATACGCTCTTTGAACCAACAAACACCGTTTTAAGTATATTCCAAAACTAGCTAAGGCTCAGGAAAAAATAGGTGAGGTTTTGGATAATGGCCTGTTTTCATACAACATCTATGTGCCATGAAGAAGGGCCATGGTCTGAAACGTCGCCAATTATATCTTTTTTTTTTCTTGTGAAGCAGTGTCAATGACGTGTGTGCATCGTGTGTTTTTTGTTGTTGCAATTTGTGCCTGTGCACGACTGCCAACGCAGCATGACCAAGCGATGTGTTTTCCTCACGCTGCTTTTGTGTTGTGTGTAGTGCACCTGTGGCGATACATCGGTGGCTATCCAACTCTGATGGATGTTATGAATAAACTGAGGCAGAACAAGGCATGCATGTTGTTTACTTTTAACGCACCCCGAGACGATGGATGCTTGGGCTGAGAATTCTACGTATTTTGCGAAATAACCAATCGCATCCAAATGCACATCCGCCCAATCAATTTGTAACATTAAATTCAGCAATGTACATGCTTTATAAAGTAATTTGCACGCACTGCACGTTATTTTGGCGTTCGAACGTGGCTTGGTGTAGTTGATGGTTTCATATTAAACTGTTGTGCTTTGACACTCACAGGAGTACCTGGAGTTCAGGAGGGAACGGAGTAAAATGCTCCATGCACGTAAAAACCAACTCTTGATGGAGTTTAGCTTCTGGAATGAGCCCCTCCCCAGGCCTGGGCCGAATATTTACGAGCTGCGGAGCTACAGACTCAAGGTGCCTCTTCCATGTTGCTGCCCTCTTGTCTGTCTCTTGCCCACCCACCCACACCCAACAAACGCATCCATTTGTCGCGACATATATATGTATATGACAGCATCATTATAGGCTTCAGACTTCATCAGGCTGCACTGAGAAATGCAGTGAAGTATAAAACTAAACTCAACTATTTATTTTACCAGGTAAGGCCCACTGAGCTGTATAGCTCTTTCGCAGAAGCGACCTGGCCATAAATGATAGCTCAACACAGTGGCTTATCGCGTAGGACTGATAAAGTGTAGTTATTATTTCCACCGCTTTGCTCTTCAACAGACTGGTGTGCTGTACTTGTAATGAATTGGCATGTTCTGTTTATGTGACAAACCTTACTAATTGGCTGTGTCGGGTGGTGGCGGGTTTAAGGACACATTTACGCGATCTCACCCATAAAAAACCCGTATTATGGATTTTCACCGCTCCTTGCACGTCTCACGAGCATGGGAAAAGTAGAATAGATTCATCCTTTTTAAGATGAGAAGCCCCCTTGCGTAAGCGTGACCACATTAATCACCTTTAACAGTGCACCCACGGGAATTGCCGTGTCGTTATTCACATTTAGAAACACCTTCCATTCGAGTTTAGCTCAGTTCGTGAAATACGTACGTATATATGTACGTATGTTGAACTTATTTCGCACTGTGTGTAGCCAACCGTGCTCATTGGATGTGCGGGGACGGACAACAAAACATACTTTGCCCAGAAAGTGACAAATGTCAAATTTGAATCAGCCACGTATCATCATGAAATGTACAATTGTGTTGTTGTAGTTCTCTTAGGATGTTAATTCTGAAATATCTTGCAGTGTAGTCATGACATAATATAAACGTGTTACTACTGTATGATAATTTAAGCTTTTAGTTTGACTAATGTTCAAATAATTTCTTAAACACATTTCTGTTTCGATCGATGTCCCATGCCCTAACAATTGTGATAAATAAATGAATTACATTTCTCCGTATAATCAAATTTTTTTTTATTCTGACAGCCAGGCACGATGATCGAATGGGGAAACAACTGGTGAGTCATCTTCTTGGTTCTTTCGGTAAAGTCACGTAGAAGGAAAATAATAAAATAAAAATAAATAAAACTGGTGAGTCGCCTTGCAGAGATACCATTGCCTTTAAAACTGCATTTTATTCGGCAGTCTTAAGTTTCTGTAGCTACTGCCTTAACAGCTGTGCGTCTCGGCCTCGTCGCGCTCGTCAGAGGATCTGCGGGCATCTGCGGGCAGAGGTGGCGACGCACGCCTGTAATCCAGCACTGTGGAAGGCAGCGAGGGTTGATGGATCGCACAAACGTCGTGAACCTCCCTTCCCATGGGTATCGAGATGTCAGAAGGCAGTACATAAAGAATGTGGACTCCACACCCGTTCAGCCTGTATGGGATACAGTGTTTCCCCCTTGCACGTGTGGGGTTTCTCCGGGTGTTCCGGTTTCCTCCTAGATGTAAGCAATATTTCATGGACCTACGCCACCTTAATATGTAGAGGACCGCAGAGCTTGGGGCCCACCGCACGGCTGCCTTCCGACTTGTCAGAATCATAATCTTTATTTAAACTTGAGGAATCTGATGAGCGAGGAAGCTCTTTTTCACAGATGTCCAGTATGTGCCTGTGGTGCCTTACCCCTCCGAGTCGCTCGCTCTCTCTCCGTCTTCGAGAGTGAGCGAATACTGTGCGCGTGACAAGTTAATAATGTTCTTGGTTCTTTCGGTAAAGTCACGTAGAAGGGAAATAATAAAATAATAAAACATAATAAAATACAATTCTCACGACGTTTCGGCGACAACGCAAGCAGCCGTCCTCAGGTGAAGAACAGGTCTGTCGGAAAGACAGCGTCTGAATCTCAGGTCTGTCTTTCCGACAGACCTGTTCTTCACCTGAGGACGGCTGCTTGCGTTGTGGCCGAAACGTCGTGAGAATTATTTTATTATGTTTTATTTTTATTATTTTATTATTTCCCTTCTACGTGACTTTACCGAAAGAACCAAGAAGATGAATCCCTGCAGTCACGAAAGCTTTAAATCGAAAGTTAATAATCGTTATTTATAATCTCGCGAGCATCAGGGGGGCCCAATCTTTCAAACCATTGGCTGGCGGATCTGTGGTTTGCTGGCGTGCAGGGCTCGAGCCATCCGCTTCCGGCAGGAGAACAACGAGGCTGTGGGGGGGTTCTTCTCCCAGATCGGTGACCTCTACATGGTGCACCACCTCTGGGGTAAACCTGCGCTCACATAACGCGGTCACCGGAGGTTGTACATTGTCGATTGTGATCTACGGGGGAAAAGTTCAGTAGGTCATCGAATATCTGGCAGCGTGGTGGGTGGGGGGGGGGGGCGCGCTGGATTTTCAAAAACGCCGGGTAATCACTACATCGTGATTTAAAACGGCATATTTTTGCACGTTCTTGTATGACTTTGTTTTTTGGGGCTGTTGTTTTTTTTTGTGTTTTGAATTTGTTTGCTATGTGAAATTGGCATAAATAAACATAGAAATGGACAAAAATTAAGTATCCTACTTTAAATAGTGGTGGTATTTACTGTGCTGTATTTACCACTCTAATCTCGAAGACTCGGCGTAGGATGTATATACGTGCAGTATGTTCATTGTTTAAGTAGTTGTATGTCGTGTATAATGTACTGTATATAATATTTCACACTGAAATACAGCGTAGATATTTTTTTTGTCACACACATGGTGTCGATCGCCGGACCTGGTTACAGAATTTTGAGCGGTTTCGCCGGATCGGCCCGGGACCGTCGGATAAATGTTGTAAGCAGCCGGATAATTAATGCGGCGCCGAATAATCGACGATCAACCGGGGAGGGGCTGGGTAGGGAGGGTGGGGAGGGGCTGGGTGGGGAGGGTGGGGAGGGGCTGGGTGAGGGGGGTGGGAGGGGTGGGGCTGGGTGTAGAGGGGTTGCTCACCCCGTGGTGCCCTTATAAAACTCAACGTTTAACCTACTCACGCCGGCTTGTGCCCGCCCTCACAGTCGGGCATATTTGCGGAATACACCACGCCGCCGTTGACCCTGGCCATTGACCGAGCAACCCAACGTTCCTACCAGCTCCCTCCGCAGGAATGTGTTTTAAATCTCTAAATGACAACGAACAAAGACATAACTTCCAGAGACATATGGCAGCAAAAAAAATGAATGACTGTACTGTACTGATGAGTCATATTGAGGATGCAACTGGTCTACAGCTAGTTTCACTGCTGCCTGTTGGGCAGCAACATTTTTCAACTCGTCGAGTTGGTAGTCGAAACGACAGCACGTCCACGCGTTCAGTTCCTTTGAGCTGGTGGTCTGGATAAAGCCGCGAGCTTTTGTACAGACAGCGCACACCTTTGTGTGCTGTAAATCAATTGGTTTCGAGTCTGCGGTCATTGTTCCGTTGCGTTTTCCCACAATTTACAAACTTGCGTTGCCACGCACGTCACGGACGGCGATCGAGCGAAGGGGATACCGTGTGTTTTCGGCAGCCTACAAGGATCTTCAGAACCGCGACGACACTCGCAACTCGGCCTGGCAAAAGCGGGGCTGGGATGAGAATGTTTACTATACGGGTGAGGCTTCCCGATGGCATTCTGAGATGTTTTTTCCCATTCAGAATATGTATATGCTAGATTTATTAACGTCACATCTGAATTGTGAGAAATTCCCATTACTAACAGCGGACGATTACAAGGTGATTTTGATAGGTAATTGTTCCAAAGAATCGTGGTAAATTTGGACCACGATGATACTACATCCATACATGTTTGTGTCTTGCACAGACATTTTAACCATGATGCATGGTATTATCTCTTATACTATAACACTTCATATATATATACATCTCTTAACACGATAATACTTCATTCATTTCTAACAATTACCTATGTGGATAACACTATATATACATTTTATATAAATGTCTGACAATTGCCTATGTGGACATGACTGGAGCTGGCCTTGAGTTCTTACCTCTCTGTCAAAAAGAGCTTCATAGCTCATCGGATTCCTCCAGTAGAAATATTCAGTTTTTAATTTCTGTCCCAGGATCAGTGTCTCCCTGCTCACGCGATCGCGGGGCGACGCTCTGAGACATTAGCGCGAATTTTACGCCAAGATTGAGTTGATCCGTACAACAGCCATCGTTGACATCCCACAAAGTGGAAACTCTTGTCGACCCCTGAGGGAAAGGGGCTGAGTTGACCCACCAACAGAAATTTGAATCGCAACTAAACACAGATTCTTATTTTATGTTTATATTCTATTGTTTGTTGTTGTAACGTTCTTCACCCACGCCCCTACTGGATATCTGAAACATTGTAGCTCATTGGATTCCTCCAGTAGAAATATTCTGACTCTGTATATTAAAATATTTTCTTGCCTTTCTTTACAGTGCCCCTCATCCAGCAGATGGAGTCTCGGATCATGATCCCGCAACCATTCTCACCCTTGCAGTGAGCGACCATTGACTTGCATGTCAGCCGGTTCCCCCTGTCCCACACAGCCCATGCACTACATGGTTATGCTCCGGACGTGTGCCTCACACACGAGTACAGCTCTTGCCCTCTGTGATAGGTTTTGCTTTGGATTTTTTGCTCTCTGGAAACAATCGGGCAGTCTGCGTAGCAAAGCAGGTGTCACCGCTTTTAAATGAGGCTGCATTCTTACCCTTGCAGAGAGAGTGAGCGCACACAGCATGTAGGCATTAGTCTTGTGTCAAACGTCGACCCCGTGTTACCTGGACTCTAAGCACTTTTTTGTGAAGGATTACCAAGGGTTCTATGTTTTATTCTGGTACGGAGGGCTGGTGTATGCAATTGGGAGGCTAATTAACACACTAGAATGTTCAAGCTCCACTAATTGGTAGAATTTGTCAAATGTTGGGCCTAATGAGCCACCACCAGCTTCTTTTCTCCTTGTGGGTATATACGTGTTCAATATAAAACTATCCATCTTGGAAGGTCTCTGCAGGTATAATTTCCTGTCCAGTGATATGAATATAATTATATTTTAGAATCGGTTCTTTTTTGTGCCATAATGATGACAGATGGAATGTATTTTGAAATCTAATGTGCTACTTTCCTGAATACTAAACGTGTATCATCACAAGGCTATAGGGACAAAACACACCAGCTCAAAAACACAAGCTGCCACTGGCAAGGCATCTACAAGGTGGATGCACACGAAAAGCAAAAACTCTTCAGTTAATATCGCCTCCAAAAATACCAAATCACAAATTTTTTTGTTGTAAATCACTTACAAGAAGCATTGTAAATTTTCGCATGAAGGTTGTTCCTGATCTTTTAATATTCTGGGTTGTTGTGTGTGGTTGAGGAGAGGCGTGCCGTCGATAACCACCACACTGAAGGCCAGACAGCTCTATTTTTTGCAAGGTTGAGCTCATTCCCTTAAAATGTTCAATATCTTTAGGCAAAATACACAGGTGAAATATTTGAAAAACTCTTAAAAATAAAAAACACTGCTCTAGATTTGAAGCTTTCGTGACTGCAATGATTCATATTCTTAGGTTTTTTCGGTAAAGACACGTAGGTAAAAAAATAAAATTAAAAGTTAATAAAAGTATTAATGGAAATAAAATAATATAATAAAGCACGACGTTTCGGAGGCAACACAAGTCTCCGTCATCAGGTGGGACCTTGATGCAGTAATTTTAGCTGTGACGGTCCCACCTGATGATTTATTATTTTATTTTATTTCCATTATTACTTTTTTTAACTTTTAATTTTATTTTTTACCTACGTGACTTTACCGAAAAAACCTAAGAGTACAAACACTGCTCTACTGGTCATGGTGAGCAACCCCAACTCTTTGCAAGATTGTGCCATTCTGTAGTCATGGCGCTAGGAATGGTGGGTTTATTCGGTTCGAGAATTATTTTTTGGGAATGATGCATCGGCCTCAAGTGCCTGGAGAGGGTCACGTGAGAATGACATTTACATACAGCGTATACAAATAGAAAACACGCCGATGCTTAAACACGCAGTTCAGTGCCCGCATCTTAAAAGCTAGACGAATTGGTATGCTTTTGATTTAAAGCTTTCGTGACTGCAGGGATTCATATTCTTGGTTCTTTCGGTAAAGTCACGTAGAAGGGAAATAATAAAATATAAAACAATACATATAAATAAATATTAAGCAATAATTCTCACGAAACGTCGTGAGAATTTTTATTGTTTTATATTTATATTTTATTATTTCCCTTCTACGTGACTTTACCGAAAGAACCAAGAATATTAATTAGTATGCATCGATACATCCGTGCGCCCCTATTTGTGTATCCCGCACTTTAAAAATGTTACTTTCCAATGCCAAATTTCCCCATCTCGCACACACTCGCTGTTGCAGGTGACACACACGCTGACCACTTTTCTTCTTGGGTCCTACACGACTCCTTAAATGTAAAGGGATGTTTTAGAGGGCATATATCTCACGCCCAGACAAAGCAACAAGTGTTGGGGTCTTAAAGGGCAATTTTCCTTTGTGGCCTTCAATAATTTTGTTGGATCCAAAGACTTTGACACCCTATGTTACCTCCATGGAACTGAGCTGCTGTGGCAGGGTCATGCCAAGCCAGGCTGGCCTGGCTTAAGAAAGTGGCAAGTTTTTGTTTTTCCCCCCCACTGCAAAACCCCTGGGCCGTGCCACTGACGTCAGTACAATAAACGAGTGAAGGTGCATGCAGATGATGCAGTGTCGGCAATTAGCACCATTTACAATCATAGCATCACTGTGCAGTTGATACGAGTAAGACGCCAATTAAGATTAAACAGAGTTGGTAATGGGAGTTTAAATTTGATTGAAAACTTAAAACATTTGGCTGATGCTCAATTGTGCGATGGGCGCGTGTCCTACAGCCTGGAGTAGAATCGATTCGGGTGAGTTTAAGGAATTGACGGGGGGGGGGGGGAGGAGCAGTTTATCCCAATTCATATTGTGAGAAGAATCAATCGTGGTTAAGAAGTCAAGATGGGAGGGGAGGGGGGTTTGATTTTTTTGGTGAAGGCCAGCTTATGAAAATGATTAACCTCGCCCCTGACCTGCCTTGAACCCAAGCCAGATTTAGATAATGTTCTGAGGTTGCAGGCCAGTATATCGGACTCGGCTCGGCAAATAGGGATTGAAAGGACCACCCGTAACTGGAAGGACGCTACGCTGGCCCAGTGCAAAGGGGGTATTGCTTTGATTTGAAGCTTTCGTGACTGCAGGAAAATCCATACTCTTTGGTTTTTTCGGTAAAGTCACGTAGGTATAAAATAAAATAAATCACGACGTTTCGGGCGCAACACAGACCATGCTTTCCCACCTGATGATGGACGCTTGTGTTATACCTACGTGACTTTACCGAAAGAACCAAAGAGTATGGATATTGCTTTCTCATTGCATATCAAGTGTGAACCCATAGTCACCATTATTCTAATGCTATATGTGACCTGTATTTCAATCCTATATTTTGTGTACAAATTCTAAAAAATATATATACGTACATTTCTGAAATAAAGTTTCCTGATTTTTGTTAAAATGAATAAAACGATGTTAATTTAAAATGTAGATGCTTCATACTGTGCCACCGCGTGTCAGCTTCGACAAATGTTTGATTTAAAGTCAAGGGGGTTAAAACATGATAACGGGAGTAGCCCTGTTACTGGTTTTATTTCTCTACGTGAAGTTTTGCTAAAACGTACTTCTCGATGAATGATAAACTACACACAACGCGATCTGCCAATCAGTATCACTTGCAGGGTAAAAGTCCACCAAATGTTGGCACAACAATTACCGGTACAGTTCTTCCATTCCACCGTCCTTGTAAATGTAATAAATTCCAGATCTCCACCATTGCTCACTCACTTTACAAACGGGAATAAAGTTGACTTTGTGGACCTGAAAGATAATATCGGTACAGTCCTTGGTGGCACAACACAATACTTTTCCCAACATTTTTGAGATTTTTTTATAACCCAGTGCACAATCCTTTAAGCATGAAGGCTGTAAATGATTTTCGTATATCTTGTTTTACAATCTGAACTCTTGTGGGATTCACGTTGTTTGAGCAGTTGACGACATTGGATAAGCCAGTTTCGGAGTCGGGGTACAATATACGGTTTCGCTTTGTACAATTTATCCCGAGGTAACATTTTGATGGTTAATAATAAATTATTAGTCTCGAATTGTTTACATTTAGCGGTGTTCGTTCATTTGCACGGCTTGTAACGTGAAGTAATGTCGGTGATGTACCCAATGTTAAAGTTCACAAATGACGGCAACGTGTGTGCACTTAAGTCACTGGTAAATTCCCTTCTCACAATTCTGTAGGGACAATTGCACCACCATTGATAACAAATACGATATATTTCTACGTGCACTATCGTCTTCAGATGGCTATAAGAAGAAATGATCAACTTACGGTGAATAAGAACTCTTAAGATTAACACTAAAAAATATGAATGTAGGTGCACGGTTCAACCTCACCAACTTTTTTTGGTAATTTGTCTATGCCCGAAGCGAGAAAAACACACTTTAGTTAATCGCCCATGAGTTTGTTGTAATTTTTTTCATGTCACATGGCACAATGATGCAACTTAATAAAATTTCAGATGGTACGCTTTCCGCGAATCGTATCGTCTTGGCCGATACAAGGCGGCCAAATGTTCCTCTTTGGAATAATAAACTTGCACTCGCAAACCGTGGAGACGTGACTAGCCATGACGCTGATTACGTGGCCAGTTGAAATACCATGGGGTTGTAAATAAAGTGGAGATTGAATCCAAATGTGTGGACTGCTCCCACGGCCCTCTGCCCAGCCACCCGTTGTGACAGTGGTCGATTGTGTTCGGTAATTCGAGTCTCTCTCCTTCCACGCTCGCAGTGTCAGCTGATACACGAGAGTCATTTCACGGCAGCAGAGTTTACAATAAAAAATCAAGCGCGAAACGAGAAAAGCAGGTCCATCAACTTCTTGGTTCTTTCGGTAAAGTCACGTAGAATGGAAATAATAAAAATAAAACATAAAATAATTCTCACGTTTCGGCTACAACGCAAGCAGCCGTCCTCTGGTGAAGAATAGGTCTGTCTTCTCGAATTCTTTTATTGTTTTATTTTTATTATTTCCATTCTACGTGACTTTACCGAAAGAACCAAGAAGATGAATCCCTGCAGTCACGAAAGCTTTAAATCGAAACAGGTCCATCAAGTCGATGTCTGCTGCACACACATTTGTGAGGCACAGTAACGGGCAACACTTTGACCTCTGGATGTGAACATGACGTTTGAATTTGGTTTAGTGTTTAAACACATTCCTATAAAGCTACTAAATCAATTATAGAGAGGGCACTGCCAAGAATAGTCATGGTCAGGACACAGTGGACAGGACAGTGCATACATTATCAGAGTTATGTTTTGGGTTTGCATTATGACTGCAGGTATTGTGGTCTATGCAAACATGACTCATCGTAAAAAAGGTGTCAGTTTTGTTGCCAGACAAGTATAACCCGTAAAAAAAGTTTTCCACTATAAATCCTTTATATGCTTGGCGGCTAGAGTCCTCTCGTCCTCTGGCTTGAGATGGCTGCCACCTATGGGTCAGATGATTGCATTGCACCATTAAGCAATTGGTAATTAAATATATTTTTGTCCTAAAAAGTGTAAAATTTAGGAAAAAAAATTTCACGAACATTGTCACGCACAACGAGTCTGTGTGGAAAATGTCAGCTCGATTGGATCACGTGAAGTCGGTTAAAAAACGACTGAAAGATTTGCACGGTCGTAAGCAAGCAAGCGGACTTAATATAAAGGATTTAATAAAAAGGGTAAAAAATCAATTATCAGGACACAGTGGCTTTGCAGGTCAGAGGTCACCGGTCCAATGGAACCTCTCGGAACGACAGTTGAAACGAGCACGTGCATTCCCCTGCCTCTCCACGTGGCAGCAGTATAAATGGGTACACCACAGATCACGTGTGTGTTGGATAAAGTGTGGGTAACTCCAACGACTCCCAAGACGTTTGTTTGGCCAGCGTGTTATAAGGGTGGAGCGAATATCCTCTAAAACAAGCGGTTCTTAACCTTGACTGCAGCCTTGCAACCCTTTGATTCTCAATCGTTTAAAAAAATGTACGTTAATAAATACATAGGTTTGATGAAACAAAATAGTTGTATTTTGATTTAAAGCTTTCGTGACTGCAGGGATTCATATTCTTGGTTCTTTCGGTAAAGTCACGTAGAAGGGAAACAATAAAATAAGAAAATACAATTCTCACATTGTGTCACAGAGGGCGAGAACTGGCCTCGAGTAAGATGGAGATTAACACTGAATGGGGGGGGGGGGGGGGGGGGGGAAACGGTGGTGGGGAGGTCTACGGGGCAATGCTTTATAAAATATATCAGGGTTAGAGTTTGATAAATCCTGCCATAGAAATGTTCAACGAGTAACACAAATGTAACCACTGCGTCGTGATGTGAGTGTAAATTTATTACATTATTATGAATTCAAACACATTGTTCTTATTTAGAAATACATAAAAGGGGGTGGGGGAAGTTGCACAATATTTTACAATATTCTTTAAACTCTCCAACTATTGGAAAATTCACACCTTGAGGAATCAAGGTGAAATGTATGCGCAGATATACGGATTCCAACGAAGTTTCACACAAGCAGCCAACTTACATCATGTTGCACTTCCAGTCAATGCAACCCCACAAAAAGATGATGTAGGCCTTGGCAGACCCACAACCCCATCACAGATGGGTAGAGCCCCTCCCTTGGGGGTGGTGGGTCCAGGCTGTGCACAGACGCTCTTTCTCTGGCCCACTCCACCCCCTTCAGAGCTCTCCCAAGCCTCGCTTCATTGGCACAGAAACACACGCAAACGTCTTCTCTTACTCATTTACAAACCACCCACCCCCCTTTCCACTGTTGCTCAGTAGGAACATTCCCCTGCTCCAAGTCTTTGCCCTTCTGAAATCCTCTGACCTGCGTCAATTTCCTGGGCAGTCGACCCCCAATTGACCCTCTTTCTCCCCCTGACGCCTATTTAAGGCGCTACCACCAGAGGTCGGCAACCAAAATAACAAGACATTATTTTCTCGAATTCGTGAAAGAAAAAAAACAATATTTCAGGATCCGCAATGCACGTGGTGAATACGAGAGAGACGGTGGTCCTCGATGTAGAAACGTCACGAAGCGACAGTCCTTAAAGCGCCGCAAGTTGTCAACCCCTGCGTTACGCTGTGCAAGCTGTAATTATTATTATTCTTGTGTACGTGCAGAGACTTTTGCAGTGTTGGGGTGGCGGTGGGTGGGGAAAAAGATGGTGCGCTGCCAAAGCCTGCAAAAACCCCTCTTTGTGCAAGTTCCAAATCCTGGCTTTGTTAGTATTGCTCGGCAGCAATCGTAGACTGGTAGCGCGCCTCCCAAAAGACGCAGCTACCGAGGCCAAGACGCGCCACGGTGGCCGAGATGTTACCATCCTCACCTGGCATTGCATGTAAACGCTGTCGCACTATTTCCCCACCTGTCCTGCAAGCCGTCTGCACGACACGGCGAACAAAAGTGTGGCTTAAGGGCTGCAGCGTGCCTCCCGAGTGCTCCGATGGTGCGCTCTCCAGGGGTCAGGGGTCGGAGCAAATTTCCTCATCAATGCTTTTAGCTATGGCTGAAGTTGGTACTGTGAATAACAAGACGTGGTCCCGCTCAGTCATTCGGAGTTAAGATTTTTATAACTCCGCACCGATTCACGCGCCACCCTTTCATTCACCGGGATTCATCGCTTTCCCCCCGGCCCTCCCCTCCGGCCCCCACGGCCCCCCCCACGGCCCCCCCCACGGCCGCCCCCACGGCCCCCCCCACGGCCGCCCCCACGGCCCCCCCCACGGCTGCCCCCTCTCCCACCCCCTCTCCCGCCACCATGGCCTCCGAATCCACCCCCTTGGCCTCTCCGGCTGGCCTTCATCTTTTTCACGCCGCCGCTCTGCAGGAAGTCCATCCTCTCCTTCTTGCGCCGCGCCTTCAGGATCTGGTCGGGGTTGCGCAGCTCCGAGCGCACGTGCTGCTGCTTGTCGGCTCCGCCGCCGCGGCGAGAGGACCCCGGATGGCCCCCTCTGCCGGGGGGCCCGCCTCGGCCGTCCCTCCTCTTACCCCTTACGCCTGCGTCGAGAGACAACGGGAAGGGGGGGGGGCACACGTGTGGCAACGCGCGTTTGTACGGACGAGTCGAAACCCAGGTTCCTCTCCCCACGCGCGCCGAGAGAGCGTTGGGAAATACTCATTTCCCTTGTACGTTTTCGAGCTCGTGGTGGAAATTTCGGATTCCATTGACAGGGGGGCCAAGAACATTTTCAGGAACAATCACTGGTGCAGTTCCAAATCGGGGGTCAGTGAGAGTCATGCAATAAAAAAACACTGCGTAAACATAAATGCCACCGTCTAGTGGTACATTCCGTACGCTGTAAGGTCGAGACAACTAAGCTTTAAATATTTAACATTTCGTCACCATCATGATCCTCCCCATGCCATCTCTACCCCCTCAGTCCTGCGATGCCACAAATCCACGTGTGGCTCCTGCGCACTCGGGCTAACCTCATCACTACATCTCTCCTCTAAGCTTTAAATATTAAAAATTACATCACCATCATGATCCTCCCCATGCCATCTCTACCCCTCAGTCCTGCGATGCCACAAATCCACGTGTGGCTCCTGCACACGGGCTGACCTCATCGCTACATCTCTCCTCAGCGGTCACCTTCTCGGCTTGATGGACACAAAAGGGCCGCACGCGCGCAATACTTTCAGCAGAGGTGCGATGACAAAGTTCAAAGGGCGTGGGGAGGTGGGCATAAGGAAGAGGGTCAAGAGAATGAGGAAATCCGGATTCTACACGCCGGTGCCACACCTCGCCACGCGCCGCCGCGTCCTCTCCTCCCACCGCCGCCGCCAGCCCTCCTCGTCCTCGCTCTCCGAGACGCGATCGTCGATCCGGTTCTTCTTGCGCCACTCGGCGTAGCTGCTCGCGAGGGTCAAGGCTCCCACAACACGGGCAACGTGGAGCAGGACGTCGCTATTCCTAGGGGCAGGCGCTCTCCTCCTCCTGTGGCCAATGCGTGCGGAGGACCGTTGGAAACGAACGTTTATATTTTAGTAATAGGTTTTTACCCTTTCAACTGGTACAAAAATTGACACCTTTATACAAGGCATCATGTTTGCAATAACCACAAGCAGTCAAAATGCAAACGAAAAGAAACGACTCTGATGATATGCACTGTCCTTGAAGTTGATTGGTCCACACCCGAGACAGCTTTTCTTAGAGCCTAGTCTCCATTGGTGTTGGACCAGATGATGCCAAAAGGCGTACGAAAAGGAAAGCTGTCTCAGGGTGTGGACCAACTTCAAGGACAGTGCATATCATTATCATTATCAGAGTTGTTTCTTTTTGTTTGCATTTTGACTGCTTGTGTTGTGGTTATTGCAAACATGATGCCTTGTATAAAGGTGTCAGTTTTTGTACCAGTTGAAAGGGTAAAAACCTATTACTATATTTTGCCACTGGTAAAGGAGATTTCTCATAGTGTTTATATTTTAATTTTGCCTCAAGACTCACGTCGTGGGGTGAAGTCACACACTCCGACACGCTTTCGGTTAGCGGAGAGTGAACTCACGTCGGTGAACTTGGACTTCCTTGCATACTAAAATGTTCCACTCCTCAAGGGGTTTTTCTAATTAAATCTTTACGTAAATATCGCCTGAAAGTTGATGCCGCAGAACTGCAAAGAGAGGCACTTAAGTTAGGCCTCTTACCCAACATTAGATTGCACTTCCTCAATTTCGAAGTACAAGATGTCTCAACAAGGCAAATCTGCGTGACACGTCACGTTCTGTTGCGAGTGGCGATGCGCGCAGTGTGAACCAAAAAAAGTCCCCGATATTTTTAACTTTTTCGTATTTTTCCAAATTATATTCCGACCGTGCTACACGTGTGCTCTCAGGAGACGTTTGGAACACTTGCAAAGAGTGCAGCATCCCATGTTAGAGAACAACCCACAGAAGCTGATATCTGAGAACTACTTCTCAGATTCCTACAAGTGACCTTTGCTTTTTAGCAAGACTAAGGGGAGGCGAATTTCTCACAACCTGCTCATGCAAAAACGTTGGTGTAAGGCCGTCAAAGCAATAAGTAAAATCTGACCTGGAATTTAGCCAAATTAAATTAAAAACCAGAACCTGATGCTTTATTTGTGCAGTCTTTGGGTGACCGAGCTGAAACCATCAACTCGCTAACCACAAGGTGGCCGGAACTCGGGTTCTAACCCAGGATAAATTTTCAGCGGTTGCCAGCACAGATGACATCGCAGGAAAGGATACAAGTTGGTCTTGTATGAGGCGGAGATGTACTGCCCGCTCTCCGTTTTAATTTTCTTTTTGCCATCCTTGTTGCCGGAGTCGCGCACGAAGCGCTTCCTCTTTCTGTCCCTGCGCGACACGCACACACACACGCGGGCGAGACAGAGAGAGTTTAAAAAGAGAATTGCTCACAATCAAACATCGGGCGGAAGCGCCTTTCCGGGAAAGACACGTGTACCCGATGCATCGCTGGAGCACATTACGTTGACGACAGCAGCCTTGGCGGTCATAACGGACACGACCACGTGCGCAAACCATAATTGATGATAATAATAATCTTTAAAACGTTCAGCCTTTGTCAATCTACTGCTGAATGAGGGCCTCCCCACACTGTGTGGGTTATCTGAGGCATAGTTCACCACGCTGGTCAGTGCCGGTTTGTGTAGGTGGAGAGCAAAGACAGGGGGGGGGGCATGGCACGACAATTGATTTTGCTGCAATGCCCCCTGGTGGCCATCACGCACGAGGCAGCCAAGTACAGAAGTCACTCAATCAGGTGAACAGGCCTGTGCTCAGATACACAGACAAGATAAAGATCCCCCGTATAGCCTTAACAGACTCGTGGGGCAAGTGCTGTTAGCAAGTACCTATGAAGGCCGGCACGGCACAAGAGGGGGTGGGTGGCCAGCACCACGCCCAGCCGCCTTTGTCTCCCCAGTGGTGATGCTTACACATCGAGGCCGAGTCGACCTAGGGTAGGCCCCAGGACCGGTTTAGATAATCGTCACGGGCGTTGACGGCGAGCGGGAATCGAACTCGGACCGCCGGGTTCGTAGCGCAAGCGTAGCGCTAACCGTGATACTACCAGCTTGTGCTCAAATACACCAGCCGTGTCACACACGCACGCGCACACGGACCATCGCATGAGCTGCTTGTTCTTGTCCAGGTCCCGCGTGTCGTCGCCCATGAGATCCAGCACAGCCCCGGACGCCTGCTGTTCAAACACCGTGTTCCCATTCATGCTCAACCTGCACACTCCCGTCACGCGCGCGCGCACAGCACTGGTTACGGCATGCCCACCGCAACACGTGCCACCTCGCGTACACGCGGCACACAGCACGCACCGCGTACAATCACCTACCTACCTCGCATGTACCACACCGCCATCACACACCTACCATGCCCGTACCACAATGGTTACACTCAGTGGAAGGTACACGCAGCGTGCACCGCACACAACGGCACAAAACGCACCACACTTGTGTACAAACAGGACCGCGTGCACAGTATAAAACAAAGACAAAGATCCCCCCCCACCAACCGTGCTAATTGGAGGGCGCGTCGGAGAGTGAACGCACAACATTCACAAAGCGAGCACGACGTTTCGCTGGTGATCGCAACAGGTTTCATCGGGCGACGGTCGGCATAAATCCACAACCCTCTCGTGCACGCTGCGACGCATTCACTCCGTGTGTGCGTGTGTGTGTGTTCCGCACGCCGCACCCCCTCTCAGAGTTGGCGTCTTTGGACTGGTACGGGATGTAGAATTCTTCAGTCCTTGGCAGTGTCCACTTTTTTGCGCTTCCCTTTGTCGGGATCGCCGTCCGATTGGGGACGTTTCCGCTTCCGTCCCACGACCTCGGAGAATACCTCCTGCGCGGCCACGGCGGGCGGGTGGGGGGGGGAGGGCATCGGGTTAAAACAAATAAGAATCGGTTCTCGACGGCATCCCACGCGCGCGTTGAGAAAATCGACAAGTTCAAACCGCCGCCCAGGGGTCAACGCGGCCCCCGCGGTCGTTTCCGGCGATGATAAAAACTGAACCACACGTCGTGGCAAGTCAACAACGGCAGTGCTACAAAGTGACCCGCCCCCCCCCCCTTCTAACCTACGGACATGCGTCAATGTCATGGCCGCCTCGTGGCTGTCGGAAATAGGCTGAGTGCTGCCCTAGTTGTTCGTTTGAGCAGGGAGACCGCCCCCCCCCGGCACCCTTGCTTTGTTTAAACTTTAGAAATTATTGATGCCCTTACAGAGCGGACAGGGAGTGGTAAAGTCGTGGATAGATTAATCTACGCGTGTTGAACTTCCTTTGCACGCGCCATACGTAGCCGAACCGTGCTAATTGACGCCTCATCTTTGATGTGGCGCCCGATTCCAAGGTGTTTTGCAGCAATTGTAAAGCAGTACGGAGGACGATCGCGGTTCAGATAAAGAGTGGGGGGCGATTCACAGTGCTGGTCTAGCTATGGGGACGGGAGAACAGGCGGGAGAGTTTAAGGAGGGGTTGGGGTAGTTCTCTTCTTAGCCGGGGGGGGGCGGAGGCAAGGATTAGCAGGGGTAGTGATAGGGGTAGTGATAGGGGTAGTGATAGGGGTAGTGATAGGGGTAGTGATAGGGGTAGTGATAGGGGTAGTGATAGGGATAGTGATAGTGATAGGGGTAGTGATAGTGATAGGGGTAGTGATAGTGATTGGGGTAGTAATAGTTGGTGATAGGGGTAGTGATAGGGATAGTGATAGGGGTAGTGATAGGGGTAGTGGTAGGGGTAGTGATAGGGGTAGTGATAGGGGTAGTGATAGGGGTAGTGATAGGGGTAGTGATAGGGGTAGTGATAGGGGTAGTGATAGGGGTAGTGATAGGGGGTAGTGATAGGGGTAGTGATAGTGGTAGTGATAGGGGTAGTGATAGGGATAGTGATAGTGGTAGTGATAGGGGGTAGTGATAGGGGTAGTGATAGGGGTAGTGATAGGGGTAGTGGTAGGGGTAGTGATAGGGGTAGTGATAGGGGTAGTGATAGGGGTAGTGATAGGGGTAGTGGTAGGGGTAGTGATAGGGGTAGTGATAGGGGTAGTGATAGTGATTGGGGTAGTAATAGTTGGTGATAGTGATAGAGATAGTGGTTGTGGTAGGCCTGTCCGTAGCTGGGTAGGGAGGAGGGGGGGGGGTGTGTGGGCAGGGGAGTAGCAGCAGCAGCAGGATGGGCAAGGCGGAAGAGAACAGTCACAAGCAAGTACGGAGCCCCGCTGATACGCGGTTAAAACACAACACGCTGTTATTCATTCCGTACGTCAAGCGTCTCCTCCGTCTCCTCCTCGTTGGCGGCAGCGACGCGGCGCGGCGGTTCCGGGCCGGCCTCAGTGCGCGGCCGTCGCCGCCGCCTTCTCCTGCAGGGCCTGGCGGTGGTTGCCGATGGCTCGGCCGTGCTTGGCCCGCTTGGCCCTCATGATTTCGCTCGCCACCGTCTTCTTCGTGGCGTTGATCTCGAATATGGTCTGCGGGGCGCCCGAAATCACCGCAGGGCGAAAGGCGAATGACCTCGAGGAATCGACGGTGGATGTGCGATTTCTTTAACCAGATTTGGCGATTCGAAGCTGCGACAGGCTTTTAACCGTGATAGGCCTCCGTTGGCATTCCCTGTAAATATTCGCTCGAAGCACGAATCGAATTATCGTCACAATTTGGTGTTGCGATTTAGATTTTTGAATACGTCTGTTGTGGTATAGCGGCCTCTCGTGGTGGTAGGGATCACAAACATAAAAAATAAATTATAAGTATTCAAATAAAAAAATGAAAGTTTACACAATGCAATGCTCATATCTTGAGCTTAATAATCAATCTTGACTTAAAGCTTTCGTGACTGCAGGAATTTATATTCTTTGGGTCTTTCGGTAAAGTCACATAGATAGGTTCAAAGAAAATAACAAAAAACTACGACGTTTCGATCGCAACACACGACCCAAAGAATATTAATAATACATTTCAATGGATTACGCAATGCAACGCATTACACTTAATAATATTAATCGACGTTTGAAAAGGCAAACACCCCACTACCACCCCCTACGCCATGCGTCGCGTGACAAACGCGTTAAATGTCTCCGTGCGAATTTCGCGGAATCCAGAACTGCGCGCCAAGCGTCGGCGAGACTCACAGCCTTGGACTTGTAGTTCTTGATTTCATCGACGATTTTCAGCCTCTCGTGCTCATTCTGCTCCAGGACCTCGGCTGGGAAAACAAAGCGGCGGCGGCGGCGTCGTTCCCGGTCGTTAGGAATGTCTCATTGTGAAAATAATGAATGACAACCACGGAAACATCAAGGACGTTAAGCACACGGGAAACCCCGATGGCCGTGGGCGGTAGGAGCAGTAAAAGGATGACGCGGAAGCGAATGAAAGGCGTCGGGCCTCACAGTAGAGCGGGTGGACGGGCATGGACGCCATCTTGAGGGCCCGGGCTCGTTTGATGGACTCGGAGGAGGGCGCCGGGCGCGTGCGGGCGTAGTGCTGGAACGCGTTCTCGGCGACGTGCTGCAGCGAGCTCAGCTCCAGCGAGGACTCGTGCTGTGCGCGCAGCAGCGTGTCCTCGTCGTCCAGCACGCACTGCGGCACGCGGCCGAGCAGCCCGTCCGTGTCGGCCGCCGCCGCTCCTCCTGCGTTGACGTGCACAGGGGAGGGTGGGGGGAGGGGCGTGAGGGGGCGCGGGGGGGGGGGTTATGACGCGCGGTGGGACAGCGGTTGGCGATGCGGCGAGCGGCGGCCTGTGGCGTGTCCGCGGCGGGTGAGAGCTACGGAGGGGAGCGCTTCGTGAACCCCGGCGGGCCTTCCCGGTTAATGCTGCCCGCGTGAATGACCGCGGGGACGCGTGGGCGAATGATTCGAAGTGTATGTCGAAAGATCTCGTGAGAACATTCCAGAAAGAGTGGGCCATGCGTGTCGGCCTTACGCTTCAAGTTTAACCACTTTTGTAAGCTACTCGCAAATATAAATGGGGAAACAACAAAGCAATGTCATCCCCCACTGGCAGACTTAGGCCCGTTTGCAGGCCGGCTCTGAATACACCATGCGCCGCATAGGGACAGCTGCCACTGGGGGTCCCCCCTTGGCTAGGCTGCAGCAGGGCACCGCAATGGTTGTATGCGTGCATCTTGAACTTCCTTTAGCCAACCGTGCTAATCGGAGGTGCGGGAAATGGTTTGGGATGAGATGCAAGGCATTTGGTGGAGTTGCCGAGGCATGTGTAATAAAAGGACTCTAACACTTCTTTCTGTCTTCGTGTCTTTATTCAGGTTCACGTCTTTACCCACACGGCACTCTGTTATAACTCCTGTATTTGTAGCCCCCGGCTATTCACTGCTATTATAGCTTCCTCACCCCTCTGACTCTCTGCTTCATCTACTGTAACCTCCTCCCTGCAGACTTGCTGCTACCCCTATGTGCAGACCCTCTGGCTGTCACTGTATGCAGACCCGCTGCCCACTCTCTCTGTGCAGCCCCGCTGCTGACTGCAGCCTCCTTGCTGCTTCGGGTCGGTCACCGCTGGCCAACGGTGCCGATCCTCGCTTCCCCCGTGTTCGTGGCGATCTCGCCACACCCCGCTTCGCCCTACGTGGCCTTCCTCTGTTCCTGGCTCCCAGTCACTCCCTCTGCTCTTCCGGTTCCCCTCCTTCTATACTCAACCCCTCTCCCCCCCACGTGACCTAACTCCTCCCCCCCTGACGGCACCTCAGAAGGGCCGTTTACAACCGCATTACACATGTAAGCAAGCGCATTACACATGCAAATCACTACCCTTGCGACGCACACAGAAAGACACACATCAATCAGAGACACGCGCACAGAATACACAGGCAATCCCCCGTGTAGCTTTTCGGAGCAAGGGCTCTGAGCAAACAACTTTGGAGATCGGCACAGTGCCCGAGGGGGGCAAGCACTGAGGCCAGCACCCTGCCCAGCCACCTTTGCATCTCCATTGCTGATGTTCACTTGCAACAATAACAAATACTCATTCTCGGCCGAGTCCACTCATGGTAGCGGCAGGACCAGTTCAGATATCACTTGCCACCGACGCCCACCATTGTAGGGAATCGAACTGGGGTGTGGTGGGTTCGTAACATTGTGCGTCACCGCTCCACCCCCCAACGTGTACACACAGTACATATAAAAAACACACACACACAAGCACTATAACTAGAAACTATTCATAATTTACCAGGTAAGGCCCACTGAGCTATATAGTTATTTTTCACAAGCGACCTTGCTATCACAAATGACAGCGCAACGAAGTGGCTCATCATCATCATCACGCGCAAATTTGCAGCAGCTGAATACTCTTTAAACGCGCGACTGTTGATTCTAAACGCGGAGGGGAAAAAAAACGGAGAAGAATCCACGCGACACAAGCGCGCACGCGCGCTTTTAACACACGTCCTCCCGTTTCGGCAGGCGGCATTCGGCATCGTGGCTCTCATTGGCAAGTCCAGCGAGCGGCGGGGGGGGTTGAGGTCCCGCGTCCTCGTGAACGCAGCGACGCACCACGGCAAGGCCTCTTACCCGCTTCCTTGGCGGCGGCGGCGGCAGCGGCGGCCGCGGAGGCGGGGAAGCGCAGGGGTCGCCCGAGGAAGAGGTGGAGGTCGATGACGAAGGGAATCTCGTCGGGTGCCACCAGGGAGTACGCCGTGCCAGGGCGGCCGGCGCGCGCCACGCGGCCTGAATCACAGGGCACAAAGATCCTCGGTTTAACACCACGGAGGCTTCCGCGACCAATATCATCCATGACAAAAGTTTTTTTGGGTTAGGTCGCGTAAATGAGTGTGTCGTTAAACCTGCCACCCGACACAGCCAATCGGTGAGATTTGTCACGTAAACAGAACGTGCCAATTCGTTACTAGTCCAGCAAATCCACAATATTTACAATCTGAGTACGACATTTCGCCAGTAATTACAACTAGCCTCATCAATATTTGCAACACAAATCCCCGCCCCACCACTCACCGACGCGATGGACGAAGAGTTTGGGCTTCCCCGGGAAGTTGTAGTTGATGACGTTGTCCAGCATGGGGATGTCGATACCGCGGGCGGCCACGTCCGTCACGATCAGCAGCATGGTCTTCTTGTGCACGAACTTGCCTACGTTGATCTTGCGCTCCGTCTGGTCGAGGGCGCTGTAGATGTACGCGCAGCTCATGCCCGCCTGGCTCACCAGCTGCGCACGCACGGGCGAGCGCACACACACACGCACGCACAAGTGGATACGGGCACAAACGCACGGAAGCCACACCATGTGACCAAATTAATGAAATTTTACCAGGCACACTGAGCCATAGTTCTTTTTCAGAAGCGACCTGGCCACAAATGATAGCGCAACGAAGTGGCTTATCATCATGTGGACATTCATAGCAGCCAAACACTCTTAACGTATGTTCCTAAATGTAGAGGGAAAAACCGGAGGCACAAGACAAAGATCCTCCGTATAGCCTTTAACAGACTGTTGGGGAAAGTGCTGTTCGTGAGCACCTATCAATGCCGGCACGACACACGAGGGGGGATGGCTGGCCAACACTACGATTGGCCACCTTTGTTTTGCCAAGTGGTGATGTTTCCACACCGCAGCAGACCTCCCCTAGAGCCTCCTCGGGGTCGACTCAGCCCCCAAACGAGTACCCGGTGCGATGTGTAGACATCACCACTCAGGTGCTGGCCTCCCACTCGCTTGTGTGCCCTGCCGGCCTTCACAGGTGCTCGTTAACGGCACAGCAGTCAAAACAAATCCGTTCAGGCTACACGGGAGATCTTTATCTTAGCATCTGCGAGTACGCGTCTATGTTGATGATTATTGTGTGCGCGTCGACAATCGCGATACCTCTCGCAGGTACTCCACGTGGTGCTTGGTGGCGACGAACACGACCGTCTGCTCGTGCGGCTTGACCACCGTGCGCAGGAGGTGCAGCAGCACGCACGGCTTGTCGTCCGCGCGTGAGCACATGAACGCCAGCTGGTACACGCACGCACGCACACGCGCACACGTTATGCTCACACGACGATCCCCCGCGCGGCCTCGTATGACTATTGGGGAAGGTGCCGTGAGAGTTGAGCGCCTGTTACCCAGCAAAGCTTCACCGAGCCTCAAGACTCTTTTTCAGGTGGGTCCTGCCCAAGTTTTCACAGCAGTGGGGCCTGATGTTGCGATGCGTGTAATCCCAAGAGTAATTTTTAGGGCGCCTTTCGGTATTGTGATGTTTGGCCAATACCAGTTACACTTTCCGAGGTTATTTTTGGCTATGGGAGGAAACCACACAACCCGAAGCAAACTCGTGAAAAACTAGCGGGGGGGGGCGGCGGGGAGGAGGATGTACAAACTCCACACAGAAAGGCACCAGAGTTTGGAATCCAACCCAGGACTTTCTCACCGAGGCGCGATTGTACACCCACTGCACCAACCTGCCGACCCATTCAAGGTTGACGTGACGCATGAAGGAGTGGTGTGTGCCAGCGCCAGGCCTGGCCACGCATCGCATCGCGTGCTCATTAAAGGGCGAGCCGATGACCGAGAGACCCCATGGCTACAGAGCTACTACGCTGCTGCTGCGGCTGGGAATAGAACTCAGGTCGCCCCATGTGCAATGCCGTGAGACAAACGCCACCGTTGCCACACGTATCACAAAGACAAAGATCCCCCATATAGCCTTAACAGACTTTTCGGGCAAGTGCTGTTAGCGAGCACCTATGAAGCCCAGAACAGCACACGAGGGGGTGGGTGGCCAGCACCACGCCTGGCTGCCTTTGTCTCCATGGTATCGATATTTATACATAGCACCAGGTACTCGTTTGAGGCCGAGTCGACCTAGGGGAGGCCCAGAACAGGTTCAGATAATCGTGACCGGTGTTGGCCGTGAGCGGGAATCGAACTCGGATCGCCGAGTTCACAGCGCGGCGTAGCGTTAACCGCTACACCACCGTTCCCCAACATATCACGCACGGGTGAACGCGCACACACACACACAAGACATTCACCCAATGCCTGCGGCTGCCCAAAAAACACCTCGTGATACACAGCCGCAAGCTCAGGAGCGATCGAGTCGTGAAACCACGCCCGCCCTCTCGTGGCACTGACCCACCTTGAGCTGGTCACTCAGCTTGGAGTCCACGTCCAGACGAATCAGCACTGGGTCACTCAAGCCTGGAGCCGGGGGACAACAGCAGCGGTTAGACCAGTCGTTGCAGCGACAGCTCGTCGTAAACTATCTTAAGCGAACAATCGTGGAACTTAGAGGGGAAAGCGCGAGACTGGCATCCAACGGAGATGAAAGCGGAGCGTCAAAATCAACGATGGTGGACGACGACGGATTTGGTTGAAACGGGCGTTACGTGGCGACCTCCTCCCCCCCCCTTAGCCCTGCAACCGCGGCGCTCACCTGCACGAGCAAACTCCACGAGCTGCTTGGGCAGCGTGGCGGAGAAGAGCAGGGTCTGGCGCGAGTCGGGGAGCCGGCGGATGATCTCCGTCAGCTGCTCGGCGAAGCCCATCTCAAAGAGCCTGCGGGCGGGCACGGCACGCACGCGTGGGTGGTCAGGGGCATGCACGCACGCACGCACGCACGCACGCTCGCGTGACAGACGTCTGCATCGTGCGAGACATCTACGCAACGCAGACGTCCGTGCAACTCGGACGTCTTGCACGACACGGACGTCTCGCGCGTTATTACGCCACGGTGGCTAGCAGATGTTGACGACCTCGCCTGGTGTGCAGGAGGTCGCGATTTCGATCCCGACCCCGACGCCTGCTGTATGTTTGGAGTTTGCGTCTCTCTCTCCCCGTGATCCCGCGGATTTTTCTCCGGATCCTCCGATTTTTCCCTCCACATTTAGAATCAACATCACGCGTCGATAGATTATTTGGCCGCTATAAATTTCCATGCAATAAGCCATGTCCTTGAGCTATCATTTGCGATGGCCAGGTCGCATCTGAAAAAGAGCTACATAGCAGCTCAGCGGGCCTTAACCTGGTAAAATAACCAAAAATATTTTAAGTTTATAGTTTACAACTCCAATGGTAAGAGGGCACAGCGCGCGCCACCATGAACGAGTTGCGCAGGAAAGCCCGCAAAAGCCTCGGCTGCAATCCACCCGTTCGCGGACGGGTTGCTTCCGCCCGGTGGGCGGAGGAGTTCTCGGCCGTTTCAGAGCCGAGCGATGGCGGAGATAAATACGTGGAGTGTAATTCCCGCCAGGCTGAAGATGATGAATCCGACCCAGCAGGGAAACCAGGCCTTCGAACGCCGGCGTGCTCTCGCGCGTCGCATGTGACAAATGCACCCGGAAAAACCACCGCTTGACCCTGTCCCGTTTCGAGACAGCTGCAAGTTGGCAAGATGAGTGTCCCGTTCGCCGCTGAATCTCAAGCAAGCGGTTCAGTGTTCATTTTATTTAGAGAGGCGTAGCGCCGTTGTTTTTAAAGACATTGTACTCACCGCAGAGAACTGTAGCGACACGACCGCACTCTGTGATAGCTGCCGCCAAACTGTGCCACGCGCCCTTCCGCATGGCCTTGTGGGAGCCTCGGTAGCGATAAATTTATTTCATTTGAATTTTACCTTCCGGTTACATTCCGAAGATGTCATCGGGACGCAATCGGAAGAACAGGCGACGTGCGTACACGTACGCACGCCATCGGAATGGGAAAGGGTCAATTGCCGAGCGTGACCGGGTTTGAAATCGCCGTCCGCCTGGCCTGGCGAGGTCACTTGGACCTCGGGAGCGTCCGGTAACACGCCCCTGGCAGCCCCGCCCCTCCGCGGCGATCCAGGCTGCGTGTCTCTCACCTGTCGGCCTCGTCGAACACGACGTACTCCATCGCCTGCAGCTTCAGGTTCATCTCCACCACCACGTGCATGAGGCGGCCGGGCGTCCCGATGATGCTGCACAGGTGCGGCGAAGAGAGAAGGGAGGAAGGGAACTTTCCTCAATTTCAAACGATAACTGGATTTTACTTGTGTTTGTACCTTAGTAAAAAAAAGTTACATCAATTGCTTGGATATTAGCTCTCTCTATAGTGCTCCACAAAATGCATTCATAGCCCAATCTAAACTTCCAGATTTGTTCATCCACAGCCATACATTATGGCAAGATGTATCGTCTTGGGTTCAGCAATTTGTCACCAGTGACTTACTAATTGGTATGTATGGTGAACTTCTTTCGCACCGTACGTAGTCCCCCGTGTTAATCTAAGTATTCCATTAATATGAATTCAGGAGAGTAGATAAGTACTGTAAACGATACATGCGTTGTTAAATCATGTAAATGTGTTACTTTAGATTGCCATTATGTGCAATTAGTCCCCCTATGACTGCCAGTACCATTATACAACCGAGAAAATAAATCATACTGGTAGTAACCTCCTGGTTACACCAGCCCACAGGGGATTATTGTGTCCGCCCGTCCGTCGTGCATCCAAAAATGGGAGGGGTGGGGCTGGGTGGAGAGGGGCTGGGTGGGGAGGGGAGGGTGGGGAGGGAGGGGCTGGGTGGGGAGGGTGGGGTTGGGTGGGGGGTGGGAGGGGTGGGGCTGGGTGGGAAGGGGCTGGTCACCCCGTTGTGCCCTTATAAAACTCAACGTTTAACCTACTCACGCCGGCTTGTGCCCGCCCTCACAGTCGGGTATATTTGCGGAATACACCACGCCGCCGTTGACCCTGGCCATTGACCGAGCAACCCAACGTTACTACCAGCTCCCTCCGCAGGTATGCGTTGGCTTTACCTATTCACTGCTTTGATAAACTCTCGACAACAGGCAACCAGGTGACACCGAAGGCTTTGGAGCAGCTCGGATTAAATTATTTTTAACCAAATTGCGTACGGGACCAACGAATTGCCAACAACGCGTCAAGTAAAGCTTGGCTCACATGTCTGGGTTCTCATGCAGGGCAGCAAACTGGTCTTCCATCCTGAAAGACACACGTGCGTCATTGAAATGTAAACACAAATTCAGCAGTGAACGATGAGGAAAACTTTCAATAAAAAAAATGTGTGCTGACCACTGAAATAAAAACAAAGTTAGAGTAACAAAAAAAACTCATTAAAAAAGCTCGCAGGAGGTCACTGCGTGGCACTGCCATGATTTAATTTGGAGTATTGTCATTAAACAACAATAAAAGTGATAGAATCCCGGGCCAGACATGCCGAGTTGAAACCACATCCGCCACAGCAAGGCAGGTTAGCTATTTATTACGAGCAATAACAGTCATAAATCTGTAATCAATGACATCAGTTTCGATTTAAAGCTTTCGTGACTGCAGGGATTCATCTTTTTGGTTCTTTCGGTAAAGTCACGTAGAAGGGAAATAATAAAATAATTAAAATAAAACATAATAAAATAATTCTCACGACGTTTCGGCCACAACGCAAGCAGCCGTCTTCTACATGACTTTACCGAAAGAACCAAGAAGATCAATGACATCAAGGCAAAGTAAAACGTAATGAAAATGTGAAAGTGCCTCCCCTCTTCCAATGGGCATGGCATCATCTCCTTTCATGGCTCTGAGCCAGTGGAGGAAATTCCACATTCATGAGACAAGAGCCTGTTTTCTCCACATAGTCCATGAACCCACACCAGATAGTTCACTTGTCAGCACCACCTGAGGTGGCTTAACTTTAGTTGTTGCACATTCCTTACGTGGCTAATAACAGCGAATTAAGTGATAACCACTTGAAATACAAAATACATCGGTAAAACTAAGGGTACCCGAGTTGGTACCAATTTCTGCTCTGGCCCATGGACTAACAGGAACGGGTGAGGGTCACGGCGGTAGATCCCACTAAGGGAAGCATTTGCCGATGAGTGCGCCGAGTGTCGGGCATGCGGGCCCGTGCCAAATGCTTACCTGTCTCCTCCGAGGATGAGGGCGGTCTTCAGCCCGGTGTGCTTCCCGAGCTGTGGAAACGCAACAGTAATTTTAGCTGTGACAGTCCCACCTGATGACGGAGACTTGTGTTGCCTCCGAAATGTCGTGATTTATTATTTTATTTTATTTCCATTATTACTTTTATTAACTTTTAATTTAATTTTTTTACCTACGCGACTTTACCGAAAAAACCTAAGTGTAAAAAGTGTTGCATGCTTACGGATAACTATTCCACGTGATCCTGCCACAATTGTTTTTTATTATTATTATAAACACTGAGCACGTGAGCAATGGTGTGCATTAGCGCAACGGAACAAAGCGATGTGTCCGTCGCACGGTCCCGGCGTGACGCGCACCTCCTTGGTGAACTTGCTGGTCTGCAGGGCGAGCTCGCGCGTGGGCGAGAGCACGAGGGCACGAGCGCCGGCCTGGGCGCTGCGCGCGTGCAGCCGCTCGAACATGGGCACGAGGAACGCGGCCGTCTTTCCGCTGCCCGTGCGCGCCATGGCCACCACATCGCGGCCCTCCAAGATCACGGGAACACACTGCGCGGGGAGGAAAGGCACCACCGCTGTTTACGCTTCGTGCAAAACAACAACAACCGCTATGGCCACCACCACATCGCGGCCCTCCAAGATCACGGGAACACACTGCGCGGGGAGGAAAGGCACCACCGCTGTTTACGCTTCGTGCAAAACAACAACAACAACCGCCGCCACGGTCACCACATCGCGGCCCTCAAAGATCACGGGGATACACTGCGCGGGGAGGAACGGCACCACCGCTGTTTACGCTTCGTGCAAAACAACAACAACTGCTATGGCCACCACCACATCGCGGCCCTCCAAGATCACGGGGATTCACTGCGCGGGGAGAAATAGCACCACCGCTGTTTATGCTTGTGCAACAACAATCGCCATTCGCCACGAATTGGCGACGACGTCACCATGGCGCTTGTGTCAGGCGATATGCACTTTAAACTTTAAGGCCGCATGCACACACGATTGAGAGACCGGGGGGACACCTCCAGCTTTTTAAGCAACAATTTTACCGCCAGGCCAAATATAAAAAAATATGGGATTAGTCAGTGGTGTACTCGAGAAGAACAATCAAAGGAACACTGTTCTTTGTTAAAATTGCACTTGTAACTGAAAAATATATAATAGGCTTACATTTCAATAGACCTTTTCAGAGCATAAGGTTGTCAAATATCACTGCGATGTGACTATCCAATGGTACGTCAGACAACGTTTCTGTCTTTCCATAGCTACAAAGGACCTTTCCCTCTCATGCAGCAATTCTGCATAATTATATCCCTGTCACAAGACAGTGTTACTGATGTAGAAGAGGAGTTATTTTAATATGGGTTACGATAATATTCTTAAAGGGGATGAAACCCCGATGAGATACAGCATTCGTGTTATGTCTGTGGTGCGTCAGATGTAATACAAAACGCATTGTGTATTTGCTACAGCGTACAAATGAATGTTCAACAAGTGTTGCGTTTTGTATGGGACACGTCAGTGCAATAAATAGAAATGAATTATTAAGTCCCATATGAAAGGCTGTTAAAATATTATTTACATATTCATTAAGGCGACCTGACTGTAAACAATCATTCGACTGAACATCTGTGAAAGAGTGCTTTATAGCTCATCAGATTCCTCCAGCATACAGATTCTGATATGGAATTAACTGCACAGATATTCCAACTTCAACCTGGAAGTGCGACTCACTTTTCTTTGGATCGGTGTAGGGACTTTGTAGCCTTTTCCCATGACCCCTTTGAACACTGGGTAGCTGAGTCCTGCAAACAGTGAGAAAATAATTTAGTAAAATACTCCAATTGGTTTAAAACACAAACAAAATAATGATCAACAATCACATTATTCATCCCAAATTCCATCAACGGGTGTTTATTACATTGGGGGAAACTGGTATAGTTGTATAGAATGCACGCATAACTTTGCACAGTTAAATTTGAAAATACACTGCGGATCTGCAATCTCCTGCTCCCCTCGCAGCTTATCTCGCACATATGTATGTTGAACTTCTTTCGCACCGTACGTAGCCATCCGTGCTAATCGGAAGTGCACACTGCTATCACACTTATAGCACTAAATTTCGATTTAAAGCTTTCGTGACTGCAGGGATTCATCTTCTTGGTTCTTTCGGTAAAGTCACGTAGAATGGAAATAATAAAACAATAAAAATAAAACATAATAAAATAATTCTCACGAATAATTTTATTACGCGTCTTAAGCGTCTTTCTGACAGACCTGTTCTTCACCTGAGGACGGCTGCTTGCGTTGTGGCCGAAACGTCGTGAGAATTATTTTATTATGTTTCATTTTTATTGTTTTTATTGTTTTATTATTTCCAGTCTACGTGACTTTACCGAAAGAACCAAGAAGACTTGTAGCACTGTTTAATAGAATTGCAAGAAACTCAACTCTTTCATACAGCAAAAATAAACCGTTCTCAAAATGTCACGGTAGTTATGGCATTTAGAATATATGAAAATACCCGTAAATATATACTTCTCCACAAATCTGGCTGTCGCCTGATAAGCAAGTTGCAATTACTGGCGACACGTCGTACTCAGATTGTAAATGTTGTGGCTTGGCTCTGCAACACAGCGGTGTGCTGTACTAGTGACGAATTGGCCACGTTCTGTTTACGTGACAAACCTTACTAGTAGGTGGTGGTGGGTTTTAACGACAACATTAATATATTTACGCGATTTAACCCAAAAAAAAACCTGTATTGTGGATGAAATTGGTCACGGAAACCTACTAAACGGTGGCTTCATATTATTGGTTCTTTCGGTAATGTCACGTAGAAGGGAAACAATAAAATAATGAAAATATAAAACAATAAAATTCTCACGACGTTTCGACTGTAATTGCTTGTTGCAGTCGAAACGTCGTGAGAATTTTATTGACTTACCGAAAGAACCAAGAATATGAATACCTGCAGTCACGAAAGCTTTAAAAATCACAATGTAAACGGTGGCCGTTTGTTATTCACTCACCCATGGACTGAAATCCTCCAGACTTCTTTTTCTTGCAGTTCTGCTGCTTGACAAGCTCGCGTGTGTTGAGCTCCGTATCGGAGGCATCTTCGCTGGGGAAACTCAAATGCTTCACGCTCTCCTAAAGAACAGAAATGCAAAACGCATTCAGCAGCAAGTTAAGCCTGTGCGTTGTGTGTTTTTTTTTGTATCAGACAACATTGCTCATTGACAAATTGTCATTTAGAGTGAGCATTCAGAAGCGTAATGCATCAGATGGAACCGGTCAGTTGATCCGTAATTATTTTCAATTTTTTGGTTTTTCATGGAACAATAGCCCGGTACGAGAACGCGAGCGGTGAGGGAGGGGGGGAGTTGATGTGTAATTATTAATTAGACCATATGAGCCGAGCAAGACGATCTTGTTACTTGAGTATTCCCCTGATTTAACAAAAGAAAACAAAAAATCTATATTTATATTTAAAAAAAGTGTATTCTACCGTTTCATCACAGAACAAGCACAAGTGCTAATTCATAATCAACGTTTTTGGGTTTAGATCGCGTTATTTATTAATGTGTCGTAACCCTCCACCACCCGACACGGCCAATCAGTAAAAAAGTGTCACATTGACAAAAGACAAATAGTTCACTGCTTTAGCCCACCGGTGTGTTGAATGCAATTACCAGCGAAACGTCGTACTCAAAAATTGTAAATGTTGTGGTTTCACGCTTCAACACACCGGTGGGCTAAAGCAGTGAACTATTTGTCTGTCAACGTGACACTTTTTTACTGATTGGCCGTATCGGGTGGTGGAGGGTTACGACACATTTATAAATAACGCGACCTAAACCCAAAAACGTTGATTATGAATATTGGTCGTGAAAGCCTACGTGTTAAACTAACAAGTGCTAATTGGCTGCAACATATGGTGCGCTGAAAGAGCTGCATTAAGCCGATGGCCACTCTGGGGCGTGCAGCACACGTGCGTGGAGAGAGTCTGAGAGCAGACCCAAGCTGATGGGTCATCTGGGACCCTAACAGATCTCACGAGGCGCCTGAAATGAACACAAGCCATGCACGAACCTTCGAACGCTACAAGCTGAAAGCAGCACAACACGGAGAGGCAATGGCGAGCGCGAAGATCAGCACAACCTGATGGAATTAAGCGTGAGGTCCCTGATCGCACAAGGCGGCCGATGGGTCTCATGAGATGGACACAAGCACAAGGGCTCTTGATACCGGCAGAGAATATACCGTCCGAGACCGTTTCAAGCACGAAGACTCACAAGTTGGGCGACCCTCTGAAATATCACCCGACACCAAAACGTGACCAAAGAAAGCGTCCATTACTCGTGGGGCCACGTTTTTGCTACTCCCGGCTTCGCCTACACTCGGCCGCCAGTTCATGAGCACGACGAGGCCCAGGTGAGGCCCAGGGGAGGGAGAGAGGAAGGGGGGGTGGCCCTTACCTTGCTGGGTACGCTCTCGGCCGGTACCAGCTCCGCGTCGTAGGAGTTCGACTCCGCGGCCTCGTCTTCGCTGTCCGCGTCGCGCCTCTGCGTCCGCCGGGGACCGCCGCCCCGTCCGCCACGCCGCCCTCCACGCTGACGCCGCTCTCGGTTCATCGCTCGGGGCCTCTCCACGCGCAACTTTGCCTGCGCGTGTACAGTGCGGTGAAGCAACTCGTGCCTCGTGTGCGGGCGTATAATTGCTTACGGATACACCGGCGCTCTTTGTATCTGCGTGCGTAGTGTGTGTGTATATGTGTGTGTGTGTTGTGTACGTGGACTTAATTGTGCGCAACGATTACTCGGGCTCGTTGTGAAAAGAAAAACGATGCACGGCCGAGGACCCGTTCAGACCACACGTGCACTGCTGGGCGCGGACATCTTGATCCGGAAGTGGCGTCAGCGCGAGCAACGCGCGGGTGACGTCATCGCCGGCACACGTGGCGAGTCGGGCACTGCACGTGGCGACCGCGTGCGGTGCCCGAGTTACGGCACCAGGGGGCAGTGTACGGGCGATTGGCACCGCTCTGCTTTTCGATTTAAAGGTTTTGTGACTGCAGGGATTCATCTTCTTGGTTCTTTCGGTAAAGTCACGTAGAAGGGAAATAATAAAATAATAAAAAGAAAAGATAATAAAGATTTGTATTTTATTTTTTCGGTAAAGTCACGTAGAAGGGAAATAATAAAATAATAAAAAATACAAACCATTTATATTATTATAAAATTATAGAAAAAAAAACATAATAAAGAATTGAATTAAATTTTTTCGGTAAAGTCACATAGAAGGGAAATAACAAATAAGAAAAATAAAACATAATAATATTATGTTTTATTTTTAAAATAAGAAAAATAAAACAATAATATAATGTTTTTTTAAATTTAATTTTATTTTATTATTTCCCTTCTACGTGACTTTATCGAAAGAACCAAGAAGATGAACCGCTCTGCTTGTTGCGAGAGATTTCCCCCGTCGGGCCGGTGGTATCTTACAACCTTTTACCGCAGCCTTGCCACCCCATTGGTTGTCTCAGTCGTTAACAACTAAAATTTCGAGTGTTAATGAAACGCACAGAGTTTGATGAAACTGGGATTTTTGCACACAACGTTGTAATACGGTATTTTTTTCTGGAAGATTTGCTGGTTTATCCAGGATGTTTCTGTTGCGCGTCGTTGCTTTAAGATGTTCTCTGTTCATATTTTGTTTGTTGCGGTTGCACCCAACTCAAGAGCCGGATATACCGAATAAATGAAACTTGAAGTTGTAACTTACGTGGCCGTGCTTGATTTTTGTTTTCGATGATTTTACACCTAAAAAAAAATGTGACCATGTCTCGCACTCCCGGAAAGGGCATCTCGCACCCCTAGGGGTGTATAGATCAAGGCTGACAATAATCCCACTCAGAATCAGAATCTTTATACTGGAGGAATCCAATGAGTTGAACAGCTAGAAAGTAGCAAAAACAAACAATACTAAAACATGACAGTAGTGCAAAGTATATGAAAGGTAGACACATTTCCATTGGCCCTTAAGCAATGCTAAATATTCAGCATTGTTTCCATTTCAGAGACCGGTCTATTCGCATAATAAACTTGTTGTAGATGTACATTTGTGCAATTTCCATAAAGATGTTCGTACAATGCTTGTGAAATGCGCGAATTCCTCTGAAATAGAAATGTTGAATGTTCACCATTTGCACAGAGCTTACAATGGAGTGTCATTATTGTGAGTCTTGATCTGCACACCAGTAAACTTGCATCGCCAATGACCGTGATCTTTAACAGTTATCGCAATAACGAAATTGCCATTCACGAGTGAGCGACTTGACAACGCGAGTTTGCCAAGCATGGCGTGAGCCCAGGGCTCAGCCACCCACCCTTCCTGTTGCACAGGCGACAGATTCCACAGGTGGATAAGTCGTGACACTTCTTCATCCTCAAACATGACTTCGTTGAGCTCCGCTTGTCACGCACAGACGCGTGACCTCTATGATGTATTTGCCTCGGCACTCACACCGTGCAATTATGGGATTACCCTGCAGCCTGTTTTTAAATAGGAGTTAGAATGTTTTGTTGTTGTAATGTTATGACACGGGATTAAGGACAGAGGAGACACCACCCTCGCTGCACGCGAGGGTTGTACGGTACTGTATGTGTGCACATGTAAAGCTCAATGTGTACATGTTCATGCACCCCTTTTGTTTGGAGTGCACGCGGATCACGGGGATTGTTTTGAATGTTCATCACTCCTCAACATTTGTCGGTGCGGGTTGATGGGGGGGGGAGCAAAGACGTGGAAGCACAGAAGTACAGGACAACAGTGGACTGCCATCTCTTACTCCCATGTAGCCCCGATGCCTCATGAGGACACTTGTGCGATGGTTGTCCATCCAAGCACTACCAAGGCTCAAACTTATTTAGCTTCTGAGATTGGGCACACTTTGAGGTATTTGGTCATTGGCTGCGTTTAATGTCGCGCTAATAAATTCGTTTTTAGCCAGGTATAAATAATGTTTTTCAAGATATGTATTTAAAAAGAAACAAACACATGTGAATATAGTTATCTTAAAAACATAAACTTGTTCATGAAAAGGAAGATATCGTACCTACAGGAGATGTTTGCTATAATGATATGTTACATGCTATGAATCAGAAATATAGTGACAAAAATTAGAAAAGAGTTGCAAAGAAGCATGGAGAGATGCACGCTTGCCATTATACCGAGACAAAAAAAATGATGCTTGTGGAAAATTTAAGTAACAATATAAATAAGCAGCCAATACACCTTCACATATCTGCATCTCCACATTCAAATATAGAGAAAGTATGTTTCACAAATTCCATCGACCAAAATACCTTCTGAGAGTGCACAATTTCAGCAGCACTGGTTCATACACAAGCGAACTGGATACCGGTTTTGACATGCAGTGTCTCATCAGCACTCAATGCTGGTGAACTGCGAGATGTGTCCAGGCAAGGACCCTCTCGAGATCTGGTGCCCAGTTCGACACAACACCGTACAATGAATAAAACAAAGTAATAAGGAGCGTTGTGAAAAATATAACTCCGATTTTTTCCCCCAGGATTATTGTTGTGTGTTGCGGATAACGTGGCTTGCAGCGTACTCCCTCCATGTCTCTGCAGTTATACTGGTAGGAACCTCCTGGTTACACCAGCCCACAGGGGATTATTGTGTCCGTCGTGCAGAGAGGGGCTGGGTGGGAGGGGAGGGGCTGGGTGGGGAGGGTGGGGCTGGGTGGGGAGGGGCTGGTAACCAGAGGTGTGGACTCGAGTCATGTGACTTGGACTCGAGTCAGACTCGAGTCATGAATTTGATGACTTCAGACTCGACTTGGACTTGCATAACAATGACTTTGTCCCACCTCTGAGGTGTGGACTCGAGTCATGTGACTTGGACTCGAGTCAGACTCGAGTCATGAATTTGATGACTTCAGACTCGACTTGGACTTGCATAACAATGACTTTGTCCCACCTCTGCTGGTAACCCTGTGGTGCCCTTATAAAACTCAACGTTTAACCTACTCACGCCGGCTTGTGCCCTCACAGTCGGCCATATTTGCGGAATATACCACGCCGCCGTTGACCCTGGCCATTGACCGAGCAACACAACGTTCCTACCAGCTCCCTCCGCAGGAATGTATTACAGGAGTGATGCAAACACATATGTTTGCAATGTCCTGTTAATGTGTTAAGGGAAGAGAATAAATGCGAGTTCATTTTACCCCGTCTAACTTCCAGTGAGCCAGGTTCATAGTCACTTACCACTTGAGTGAATGCTATGAAATTATAGATGCAATGAATCATCAAATAATACATTGTTTAAACGCATGCCTGTACAGGCCACCATACAGCAATGGGGATTGCCTGTACGCAGATAATAACAGGGTACTGCTATTTTATTGCAAGCAAACGTACAGGAGGTACAAGAACAATCTGCATGCATTATAATGTACGTTGGTTGACCATATGAATAACTCAACCGGCAATGGATACCCATTGTAATTTACATTCATCCCCCCCCTTCGCACGTGAAGGGCTCACAAGTGACGTCATCACATCTACTCTATCTAAGGAACGAAACAGAAGCTAGTTGCAACAGCTAGTTGTAATTACTGGCAAAACGTCGTACTCAGATTGTAAATGTTGTGGATTTGCTCTCCAACACGTCAGTGTGCTGTACTAGTAACGAATTGGCACGTTCTGTTTACGTGACAAACCTTACTAATTGGCTGTGTCGCGTGGTGGCGGGTTTAACGATACATTTAGATTTACGTGATCTAACCCCCCACAAATATACATTATTGATGATACAGTGTGTTAAAAGGGCTGTAAGGATATCAGATGAGATCCATGCAACTCTTTGTAATGAAATATCCGAGTATTCGATGTCATGGATCTGCGTGAGTAAAATGGGGTGGAACGATGGTACTGTGGTTAGCGTACGACTGCGCTTTGAATCTGATGACCTGTAAATTGATTCCCGGTCACGGCTTAAAAAAATGTGATGCAGAGATGTGAGCTTCTTCCAGAACCAGTCAGGGTGGGTTTGTGAAGCATGTAAAGAAGAAGAAACTCCAATGACAACACAGCTTGAGTAGACCCCTATATTTGAAGCTTTCGTGACTGCAAAGATTCATATGTTTAGTTTTTTCGGTAAAGTCACGTAGGTAAAAAATGAAATGAAAATTACGTAGGTAAAAAATAAAATAAAAATTAATAAAAATAAAATATTAAAATGAAATTAAAATTAATAAAAATAAAATATTAAAATGAAATTAAAATTAATATTTTATTTTTATTAATTTTAATTTCATTTTTTACCTACGTGACTTTACCGAAAAAATTGAGAGTATAGACCCCTATAGCCAGCAGCTGATTCACACAGAACCATATATTATGATTACTTTATGAATATCAATAGATACACTCGCTGATTTGTGTGCCTGTTTTAGTAATTTCTTTGCTTGCGCCGAAACAAATGTTGAATGCAAATTTTCTCAGGCGCCGAAGCTGAGTCAATAACCACGTGGGTCCCTCGTGAAATATATCGGCAGCCATTGCTCCATTGTGATGACACGTGACACTGCGGCAAGGACATTGTCATCCTGCCCCCGCCAACAGCTCATTCGGGGTGGCCCCACGGCGTTGCCAGCTTTGATATGTCAAACCCCATTGAATCGCCCGCTCTGAATAATGCACTTGAAAGGGCGATTTTTTTGTAACATGCGCTCTTTGCACAGACACACACCACACACACATGGATCTTTGTGATATTGGATCGTAGTGAACTAACCTACAAGGGCGTTGAAAAACAATACAGCACATTAATGATTGACTGCTGCCACCGTTCCAAATTAATGTTCTATTCTTTCTA